AGAAGCAAGGCTGCTCCCAACATCCTCTGACCTGCGCACTCGCCCCCAGCTTAGACCCCTGTTTTTGGCTGGACGGGGGCGCCCACCCCATGAACGGCCTGGACTCTCGCTGCCCCCATTTTCATAGCATGCCCAGGAGGGCAATGGGGCCCAGGGGGTTTTCCTAGAAAAGTGGATCACGGAAGCAGCAATTTTTGCACTACATTCCAGTTTCAAATTTGAGATTTAAAACCTATTAAATGTAACGGGCGAGGGGTCAGGGAGCCAGGACAGCCTTCCTGCCTGTGTCAGTAGGCGCAGGGCTTCTCCTGCTGACAAACATTTCGCTGTTCCTTGGAGGCCGAGCAGCAGGAGCGAGAGGATCACCAGCAGCATAATAATGGCTGCTCCCTTCAAAGCAGAGACGAAGCAGGCAGGCAGGCGACTCGCCTCACCCGCCCCGGCTCAGCCCAGACAAAAGCCCTGGGGGTGAGGGACGGAGGGAGCTGCCCTGTCTGGAGGCCCCTCATGCAGCTGGCTGGGATTCAGTCTCATTGCTAGGACGCCTAGACCTAAAGACCTGGTATTTCGTCTGCAAATAAATTACGGTATGCATGAGTTGAATGGGGCCATTTAGATCACAAAGCCTTCTCCTCTTGTGTCAGAATCCAAAGAGCAGCATCAACTTAACCAATGGCTGCCGGTCCTCCACTTAGACATGTCCACTCGCTGGAGGACTGCGGAAGCTTTGCAAGAAAAGACTGGACAACCATTTGACTGAGATGGAATAAGGTCTCCTATCTTGGGCCCCTGAGGGTTGGACTAGAAGACCTCCAAGGTCCCTTCCAGCTGTTTCTTCTCTTCTCTTCTCTTTAATGGGGCAGGACTTCAGCTGTGCCTGCCCCCCCCCCCCCACTGTTGCAGAGGTTCCTGGATGGCTCTTCTCTGAAGCTGTTTGCATTAAGTGACAAAAAGGAAGTTTCTGGATCCTCTCACCAAGACCAGCTCAAAGCAGCCTCTTCTTTGTGGCAGCCCCTCAAATACTGGAACGCTGCTATCATGTCACCCCTATTTCTTCTTTTCTTTAGACTAGCCAAACCCAAGTCCTGCAGCTGTTCTTCATATGTTTTAGTCTCCAGGCCTTTGATCATCTTAGTTGCTCTTCTCTGAACTTTTTCCAAGTCTCAACATCTTTTCTGAGGTATGGTGACCAAAATTGGTTGCATATTCCAGGTGTGGTCTTACTAGGGTTTTATAAAGCGGTACTAATACTTCATGTGATCTCTGTTTATAAAACCCAGGATTGTATTAGCTCCTTTGGCTGTGGCTGCACGTGGCTGGCTCATATTCAAGGACTCCAAGGTCTCTCTCACAGTTACTGTTTTTAAGCCAGGTCTCGCCTAATCTATACTTGTACCTTTGATTTTTTCCTGCCTAAATGTAAAACCTTGTTTTTCTCCCATTTAAAATTCATTTTGTTGGATAGGGCCCATTGTTCAAGTTTGCTGAGGTCTTTTTGGATCCTGAGCTTGTCTTATGGGGTGTGGGCTGTTCCTGCCAGTTTACTGTTATCTGCAAATTTGATGAGTTCCCCTTCTATTCCCTCATCTAAGTCATTGATGAAGATATTGAAGAGTACTGGGCCTAAGACGGAGCCTTGTGGCACCCCACTGCTTAATGTAATTTTGTCTGCTTGTTGATGGACATCCAGAACTATTTTATATAATATTTGTGGCCATATCTCTTAAATAAATAAATGAAATATACCGAGCACCAGACATAGCTGAATTTTAATCCCCTCCACCCCTCCCAGTTGTAGAATTGAGTCATGTTCAAAGTCTGAGGACCCCCTGCTCCCCCTGCAGAAAAAAAAACACTTTGTCTTTTTAACAGGACAGACCAAGGGGGCTGAAAAGAGAAAGGGGGGGGGCTTGCCCAGCATCCTCAGAGCTCTGAGAATGAACAGAGACCGTGGGAAATCAGAGAGGTTGCCACCTTTGAAAGGAAAAACACAGAACCTTTGGTGAGACTATTGCATACAACCACTTTTAATTTAATTGGTGGGAGGGGGAGTTAAGTTCACTTTATTGTCTGTAGTATTTTATGTTTTCTGAAACTGTCCAGTAAATTGGGTCCTTTTGTACAGAGTTGCATCAGAACCAGGATCTCAGCACCAGTCAGGGTCTGTTGGAGCTCTATGTTTTCCTGCATGCTTTTTCTACTGAAGGCTGCCTCTTGCTTTTTATATCCATAACTGAATTTATTTATTAAACTTATACGCCGCCCATCTCTCCAAAGGTGACTCTGACTGAATCCTTTGCAGGCCACTGTTTAAAGTTAAAATCCATATATGTGGATATCTTTTCCTTTTAAAATAAAGTATGTCAGTATTTATACTCTGTGCTTTTATTGTAATTGTCTACATGACTACGAGCTGTTTGGGAAGAGCGGTTAAAGTGGGCTCTAAATTACTGTAACAAATAAGTTGACCTTGAGTTGTGACATCTTGCTCAGTTCTCGGTGGCTGAAAAACTGCTCCACCTGCCAGCCTCAGGGAGGCAGAAGCAGCTCTCCGGCTTGCCTAACATTTTGGAATTCTGCTTTTCCAGTCCAATGTCAGGGGCCCAGGCTCTTTTTTGGGACTAGGCAGAGGTGAAGGAGGGCAGCAGCTGGAGAAGGACGCAGCAGGTTCGTGGGTATGTGGAAGCCGTGGCCTCCTGCCTCCTGCCGATCTCTGTGCGACCCCCCCTGCTCAAGAGACTCCCACTCGGTAACCGTGTCTGGTTCACTCATTCCTCCCGCTCAAGGCCCCAGCCTGGCTAGAGAAACGTGGCCTCCCGGGCAGAGCTGAAGGAAGGGAGGGTGCCGATGAAGTCGCATCCCTTTCCCCTCGGAGCAGGCTGGCTAAGTGGAGCCCTTCCCCACTCGGGACCTGCTCCAAGTGGGGGCTCTACCCACTACGAGGAATGGGGGCTGAACGGGGGAGGCAGCAGCATTGAATTGAAATGCCGCCTGGGTCATCAGAGCTGTCTCTGTTGGAGACCTACAGGAGAGCCAGTCTCTGGCAGCAGCAGAATCAGGAGGCAAGTGGGGTAAGATTTTTCCCAACTGCATTAAAAGGCATCGGTTGGAAAAGGGACTACTGGAGTCCTCCTGCTTCTTTGGGATCAGCAGTCTTTCCTTTAGTTATTTCAGAGTTATTTCAACGAAATGCCAAACAGCTGCAGGGATTTTATAGTCACGTGTTCTGATTAAAATCCAGTTCCTCACATAATCAAAATAATGAAAAATACATTCTAGGAAATGCATACAGGCACCTATTTGTTTTTAAGTGGCAACGTGCAGCCTACTTTAAAACCAGCACACCCAACAAAATCCCAGCCCCAAGTCAGGAAAAAAGTTGTGTGTTTCGTCTTTCCCCCCAGAATGACCTCCAGCACCCTCCCTCTTTCTCTCTCTCTGCAAGCAAGGTCTCTTAGGGGACATTCCCATTTTGCAGATGCGGTTTACTCCCAGGTCAGAAATGTTTGGAAAGGAAGCGTTTGGGAACCGCCCGCGCCCACTGAGGGTGGAAGCCCAGAACGGGCCAAAGCCTCTGCAGAGCCGGCTTCTCTTTGCCCTTAGAGTGACGATCAAAGCCATCCAGCGATGCCCGGGCGACCTTGCACTGCTGCCCTCCAGGGTTCTGCTTGCCGTTCCAGCCCCGAGAGCGCCTCCTCCGCCCTGCCAGCACAGATCCGGTGTCCCTGAGGCCAGCACAAGAGCAGGATGAGGAGCTGGAGTCGAATCTTGCGGCAGAGCCTCTGGGTGCAGCTCGCAACCGAACACCAACCCTGTCAAGGGCTCCGCTCTGCTGGGTCTGTGAGCATCTGGCTGAGGGGCCCAGGTCCCGAGGAAGGGGCAAGCCAACTGTGGGGCCTGACCCCGGCTCAAAAGGGGCCAGAGCCAGGCCCTTCTGCTAAACCCGAACAACTGTTTCCATACATCTCACTCAGCCCAGTTCCCCGACTGTCACAATGGCTGGGAGCATCCATCACGCTACCCAGTAAAGCAGCCTTCCTGATGGCCGGACCAGGGGGCTGAGAGCACAAAACCAGTTCAGTACTGGGAATATCCTCCACGGGCAAAGGGAAGGGGGGCCAGGGGCCCGGGGCTCTTCCAGCAGCACCTGCAGAGCCCAGAAGGGGGGAGGATTCCTAGGCCGAGCCTGGACTCGGCAGCCTCCCCCGGGGGCCTCGGCTGGGTCCCCAGACACTGACCGCCCCCAAGAAGAGCAGCCGCGGCGCAGCAACCGGCGGCCCTTCAACCGAGGGGCTTCCCTCAAGCAGCTCATCCCTCTCCGACCAAAAGGCCGCCGTTCTCTCCTACCGGCCGGGAAGGGGGGGGGCGGGCAGGGGAACAAGCCAAACGGCCGACCAGCTCAGGAGACGCCGCTTCTCTCGGGCTCCAGGCACAGCCAGCACTTGGGCTGCAGGACCAGCGGCGACCCAGGAGGCGCCCGGCCGGGGCCCCGCAGCCCGCCGGACCGCCCCGCTGCCCAACGCCGCTTCTGTCGCCGCCCCGGAACCGGCCCCGGCGGCGGAGCTTTCGCGCCCGAGTCCCGCGCCGTCCCAGGCCAGGCGCAGCAAAAGGCGCTTCCGGAGCCTCGCCGGGCAGCCCTGAAACCAGCCCGGCACCATCTCCGCCGGGCCGGTCCCGCCTGGCCACCACGGCGCCCTCCCCGGTCGCAGCCTCGCGGCCGTGCCGGCCTCGCTTCGTCCCGGGCGAGAGTCCCCGGGAGGGTCCGGTCGGCGGAGAGGCCCCGTCCCGCAGCGGCGCCCTCGCCCGGCCCGCCCCCCGCCGCGCCTCCCCGGACAGAAGTTTCTTCCCCGCTGCGCTTAGGCACGCATCGCCGCCGGGCACGGCCGGCCCCGCAGCCCCTCCTGGCNCCTGGCAGCGGCAGGCCCGGCGAGCCGCCCGCCCGCCCAGCTCACGACCCCGAGGACGGCCCGCCCGCCCGCCGGCCCGCGCGGCGCCCCCACCTGGATGGTGCAGGAGTACTCGTTGTCGTCGAGGAGGCGGACGGTGCAGGGGTAGTCGCGGTCCAGGCTCCTGCTGCTGCCGCTCATCAGCCGGCTCAGCATCTTGGCCGGCGCCGGGGCTGCGCGGCGCGCGCCTTCACATGGCCGGAGCAGGTGGCTGCCTGGCGGGCGAGGAGGGTCGGTGCCGCCGCCGCCGCCTGCCTCGGCTGGGCTCGCACAAAGCCCGGCTGGGCGAGAGGGGGGCACGCCGGCAGGCAGGCAGGCAGGCAGGCAGGCAGGCAGGCAGCGAGCGGCGCGGCTTTCGGCTGCGGGAGGGGGGGCGCGGGGGGGGCGGCGCCCAGCTAGGCCCGCCGGTTCGTGGCCGCCGAGGCCAATCCGGGCCCGGCGCCGCCTCTGACGATCTCGCGCGCAGACCAATGTGCCGCTCCGCTCGGGGGGCCGGGGGGGCGCTTGGCCTCTCCGGCGGGGCCCGGCAGCCGTAGCCGCGGTGGACGCCACCCGCAGGGCCAGAGCGCGGCGCCCCCGCGAGGAAGCGGCGGTCCCGGGTGCGGCTACCTCGCTCGGTCTCGGGCGGGCCGCCGCTTCGGGGGAAGCTCCTTGCCGTGGACGCCGGACAGAGCGGTCCCCGGGCGCCTCGAGGAGGATCGCGGCGGGACGCGGCGCTGGGGATGCGGAGCCGCTGCGGAGGGGCTCCCGGGGAGTCCAGCGCCTCCGGGGTCGGGGAGGCAGCGGGGGAAGCGAGTCGTGCCAGTCGCGAGTTCAATCATGTGAAGTGGGTTTGACTGGGAGAGAGCAAGTGGCCCAAGTTGCCTTTTATTAGCTAAGGCAGGACTTGAACTCATGGTCCCCCAAGTTTCCCAACCTGGTACCTTAACCACCAGACCAAACTCTCTCTCTCTTTATATTAATAATATATAATATAAAAATAAATTTTACATGGAGTTCCCTTATCTGGAAAGCATGTTAAAAGCTCAATATACTGTTCTTTAAATCCTTGCTTTAAATTCTGAAGGAATCATTGTAAAAGATGTAATTTTTAGTTAAAGGGTGGAGGTTTTAGTTTCCTGAATCTGGAATTATATTCTTATGTTATTGGTATTATGTTATTGTAAATAAAAGTAATACTACTCCTATCATTAAGTATGTCTTTTAACAAGTACTGTATTTTGGACAACATAATATGTAAGATACACTATCTTTCCTGGGATCTTTTGGAATATTCATACACAGCATCTCTTCTAATTAATATAATTCAAGATATATCTCTGCTGCTATGTCTCTATGAATTTGAGATGGTTGGTATGCCTGTTGTGTAAAATAGCATTTTGAAATTTTTTCTTACACAAAAATGACACTATGGGGGAATACATATCTTAAACATGTTTTTTTTTAAAACTGCTGTGGAAGATTTAAGTGTTGAGATTTTTTTCTTTATCAGTAACAGGAGAATAATTTCCTTGGTTAAGAGATAGAAAATGTTATTGATTTGTTGCCCCCCACTGGCTGCATTAAGAACTGCAGTCTCTACTGACATAAAGAACGGCTGCTGGAATTGGGTAGGTTTAGTCCAGGGGTAGGCAGCCTTGGCTCTTTTATGTCTCGTGGACGTCAACTCCCAAAATTCCTGAGCCAGCCAGGGAGGTTTCCATGCTGAGCTATGCTGGCTCAGGAATTCTGGGAGTTGAAGTCCACGAGTCATAAAAGAGCCAAGGATGCCTACCCCTGGTCTAGTACAGTGGCTCCCAAACTTTTCTATACCCCGCACCCCTAGAACGCTTCTGATATATTCTCGCACCCCTTACAAAAGTTTGAATAACAGCAACGAATTATGCATATATATTATAATTTTGAAAACCCAAGTTTTCACACACCCTGGAATATCATCTCACACCCCTCATTGGGAACCCTTGGTTTAGTATAATGAAGAGAAGGACGAGGGGTGACATGACAGCAGCTTTCCAATATCTCGGGCTGCCCCAAAGAAGAGGGAGTCAAGCTGTTCTCCAAAGCATCAGAAGGCAGAATAAGAAGCAACGGATGGAAACTAACCAAGGAGAGAAGCAACCTGGAACTAAGGAGGAATTTCCTGACAGTGAGAACAATTAACCAGTGGAACAACCTGCCTCCAGAAGCGGTGAATGCTCCAACACTGGAAGTTTTTAAGAAGAGACTGGACAGCCATTTGTCTGAAATGGTCTGGGGTCGCTGGAAAATTGCTCTCCTCTCACCTCTCACCTCTCTCAGTCCCCTATCAGCTCTCCAGGCATTTAACTAAGCCGTGTTTCTCAAGCTTAGCAACTTTAAGAGGTGGGGACTTCAGCTCCCAGAATTCTCCAGCCATCATGCAGGAATGCCGGGGTCAACCTCAACATGAATTCTGCAGCATGGCTGGCTGGAGAATTCTGCGAGTTGAAGGCACATCTTAAAGTTGCCAAGATCGAGGAGCACCAAGCTAAGCCGGGGTTTTCCAAACTCGGCGACTTTAAGCCGCGTGGACTTCAACTCCCAGAATGCCCCAGCCAGCACGCAGGGATGCCGGGGCTCAACGTCCATCCCGAGGCCGAAAGGCGTCCAGCCCAGCCTGGAGGGGGCAGCCAGGGAGCCAACCCGCAGCCGCGCCCCGCCCTCTGACGCAGCGGAGGGCGGGACTGCCCCGCCGCGTCCCTCGCAAACCTCGCGGCGAGGGCGCGCGGCCCCGCTCTTCTCGCGAGAGGCGCGGCTGCGGGACGGACGGTCGGGCGACGCGGAAGTGGCGGACCGCTGCGGAGGAGGAGGAGGCGGGCGGGCGCCGTTAGCCGCCTCGCGGGGCTTCCCGCTCCCTCCTTCCCCGTGGCCGCTCAGCCTCGGCCCCTCCGCGATCCGGACCGGCCCGGCCCTGGGAGGCGGCACCGGGCGGGGCGCCCCGGGAGGCAGGTGGCCCGAGCTGGGCTCGCGGGGCGCCGCGGTTTGCCCTTGAGAGGCTCCCTTCCGGCAGCGGCCCCGCGGGACCTTCAGGCCGCAGCGCGTCGGAGCCGGCTCGCCCCGCAGCCCCTCGGCGCAGGCCGCGAGGTTCCTACTCGGCGCGTCAGTGGCGGCGCCGGATCCGGGGCGCGGAGCCTCCGGCGCTCCGGCGAGGGGTCCCGGGCGGCCGCTCGGCGTGAGGCCGGGCCGAGGAGGGGGGCGCTGCCCATGATTCCCCCGCCCTTCCGTCCCGCCCGGCGCTGAAGGAGCCGCCCGGCCCGGCCCATGGCGGGGTTCGGCAGCAACCGGCGGGGCGGCCGCCTCCCCTCCTTCCTCTTCGCGGCGCTGCTGCTCGTCATCGCGGCGCTGGCCTTCAACGCCTGGAGCTCGTCGTCCCGCCAGAGGGCCCTGCGGGAGGAGGCGGCCGAGCTGCAGGGCCAGGCCAAGCGCGGCGATGTGGCCCGGGGCCGCCTGGAGAAGAGGAACTCGGAGCTGCTGCTGCAGGTGGAGGCGCACAAGAAGGCCCTGGAGCAGAAGGAGGCCGAGCGCAGCCGGCTGAGCAGCCAGCTCCAGGCCAGGGACGGCCAGGTCCGCAAGTGCGAGGAGGGCAAGGTGAGGAGGGTCGCTGGCGGGGCAGCTCCGGTTCAGAGCAGCTGTTCTGCCGGGCTTTGCAAGGGAGGCGGCTCTCATCAGCTGGTGGGAAGACGAGAGGAAAGGGACGGTGGGAGACGCCTCGGTGTCTTCTTGCCGGTTCCCGAAGGACAGGAGGGTCCCTTCTGTTTACCGAATTCAGGGGTAGGCAACCTTGGCTCTTTTATCACTCGTGGACTTCAACTCCCAGAATTCCTGAGCATAGCTCAGGAATTCTGGGAGTTGAAGTCCACGAGTGATAAAAGAGCCAAGGTTGCTTACCCCTGACCTAATTGATGGTGCCCCCATTTCAGAAGCAAGAGATTCTGAGTGCAGCACAAGACGAAAACTGTGTCTAAAATCATTACCAGCAATACACGTAGTCCTCGACTTACAACAGCTCATTTAGTGACCGTTCAAAGTTGCAATGGCACTGGATAAAGTGACTTATGACCATTTTTCCTAGTTACAACCTGTGCAGCATCGCCCTGGTCACACGACATATTACGATGTTTTTTACCTTTGCGGAGCCAGCGTGGGCGTGGCATGCGCGTGACGCATCCGGCCCATGGGCCACCAGTTTGACCCCCCTGCCCTAGTCAGAGCTGCTTTCACAATCATTCATTCTAGAAAATTTTATTATCAGAACAGGGATCTGTACTACTTCACTACTTACTTTTTGTTTTTAGGTCAAACTTCAGAGCAATATATCGTACCAGATGGCAGACATACGTCGCTTAAAGGGTAAATGTTCTTGGTGTAAACATGATTTTATAACTGAATAACATACAGCAGTAAAATATAATACCAAGTAGGCAATGTGCGCTCTTGATGTTTTGAAAGATAGCTACAGGTGTAATCTCCTACTTTTTGTGGACTATGGTAATTTCTCTTTAAAATATTTGGCTACATAACTATTATAAATTTACTAGAATATTAGATATAGATAGGCAGCATCTCTGAAAAAATCCATTATCTTCTGGACTTTTTTAAAAATAAATATTTCATTATTTTTTTATTTTTACGATCAAGTGCCTAATGACTGAGTCCATTAGTGATTCTGTGCTACATATAAGCTTCTTCAAACTAAATCCGATATTATACCCTCCAGTACATCGTCTCGTCTTCTGGTAATAGACATTTTTCCACACTAAGCAAATACAGTTCTTATTGTTGTGAGTAAATATACACTTGCCTATCAACATTTGTTACATTTTTCTAATAGTGTCAATAATATCAGCTTAGAATATCTTTTCTAACCAAAGCATATTTTAATTGCATTTGCACCCAATATCCATTTATTCAGTCTATATCCTATTTTTGCTTTTTTCAATTTTAATTCCCTATCCATGTTCAAAATATCCCAATCATTTATAATTTCTGAACAAGTTATTTTTGGGTAATTAAAAGCTTCCCTTATTCAAAGTTCTTAGCATATTCTTATTTCCCTTTTCTTACCAAGATATGATATTTGATTACAAATCCTATCTATCTAGTTATAATAATACTTCTATTTCTAGCGATCTATTCTTAACTATATTCAAACATCTAATTGGTAATATAACATCCCCTCTAATAAGTCAAAGCTTCTGTTTCCTTCAATCTTACTCTAGCTTTCTTCTTTTGTCAACTAACTTTCCAAGTCAGTGCATTTGGATCATCAAATAATTCTTCCTCTATTTTTGTGTATATTATTTGAAAAAAAAAGAAACAATTTAGTTAAAATATTTTTGGAAGATATTTATTAAACAGCCTCCCTCCTTCTCTGTCTTCCTGCGCCTGCATTGCCACGATGTCAAAACCGGAAGCCATCTTCTGGACTTTTTTAATGGGCCTCAAATATAAAAGTAACAGACTCTACTATTTTGTAATAAAGTAGCCATGGAATAAGAATTCAGAAATGTACATCATTTTCATTTTACTTCAGTAAACGTTTATATTTTTATTACTATTGTGGAAAATTACTCAGCAAAAAACAAGGCTAAGTTTAAAGTATGGAGCATTTTTAAAATTGTTCAAATGTTTATACTTTGGCTTAGAACAACTTGCAGAATTGCGTCAAGAATTCCTACAACAAGAGGACTATCTTCATGAATACAAGAAAAACAATACACAACTTCTTAAAAGATTGGAGTATGAAAGGTGAGGGATTAAATGTGAATAAAAGTAACCTAATTATAAGACATTGCTGCCAGGTCAGCTCATTTGTTTATGAGCTTTAGGATCAGTGTTGAGTATTATTTTAACATTAATGTTCTTTCGCAGTTGTTATATAAAATAGGTTAAGATGTTTGGCCTCAGCCGTATTGCTTGATGGATCAATGCAGCTTTATAATTATTAAGGAGAAGGAAAATGGAACAAGTTTTGCTTTGCTTTTTTGTAGAAATAAAATCTGCAAGTAGATTGCAGTTCTCCAAAGTCAATAGACAATGTAAAATGGTCAATTTACTAGTGTTGTAGTAGGATGGGAGTGAAAAATATATGCCACTCTGCTCGGGTTCGTGACTCATCAAGATTTTTGTGAAGGATTGCCTCAAAAAAGTTAAGAGACCCTGTCTGTCAGTCTCACAACTCTCCTATTTGTCTGTGACCTTTAATTGGGTGAAACTGTATCAAAGGGCAACAGTTTTTAAGCAAAGATACCTCAAGTTGGACTAAGTTACAGAATGAATCCAAAATCTTGGAACCTATGACTCCCATCAAATTGAAATTTGGCAAATTTTATAAAATATTTTATGATGTAACAATTATAAAATATTTTATGATGTAATGAAAAATGTAAAAACCTTTCCCTGTGGTCAAGGGTTGATCTTTGTACTATACAGTTCATCATAGCGTATTTTCAAGGCAGATACATGTCTCAATCTCCCTGAATTTTGAAAAGACCTTTTCAAGTACACTGGAAGCTCTGCCATTTTTGAAAGCAGTGAGGAAACTGGTAAGGAAGTATCTCTGAAACAATGACCCAGTAGATATCGGGTTGTCTACTTTCATATAAAGGCCTTTTAATATATTCAGTGTGTTATACAGAAAAGAACCTTACTAAGCAGATCATAAATAATATAGTGGGGAGCCTAGAAAATCTGTCAATCTCAGTTCTAAATTCTGCTCTCCATCTTGGTTCTAGTTTTCAATGCGGGCAACAAATCAAGGAACTAAGAATACAACATGAAGAAGATATGAAAAAATTGGAGGACCAGGTTTTGCAGGACCAGAAGGTAACATGGCTCTCTTTGTGATGGATGAACCCAGGAGTCTGCCACCTACCTGCTTTTGCTGCCTCCCAACATGGGTATAAGGTGGGACTAGCAAGGAGCAGACTTGGCGACACTAATTGCTGTATCCAGGCAGAGTTTTTATTTTTTTACACTTGGGGCTGTAGAAAGTGGTGAGGCAAAGGTGAAAAGAAAGCAGGATGATTTCTATATGTTGATCCCAAAAATGAAATATGAAGCATTGGATTAAATTAAAGATAAAGTAATATTTTCCTTGTAAGTTTAGCTTTTAATGCTTAAGGAACATTTTCACAGCAGGCCACACACAGGAGCCAATTCACCAAAGACATTGAGAGAGGATTGAGTGAGAGTCCAAAAACAGTGAAGGCAACTCAAAAACTGAACGAAGTTAAGAATGAAGCACCATCAACCAACAATATATCAGATGGCAAAGGTCTGTCTGGGACAGCTGTGGTAAGGCACCAGGGTCCCTCTGGCACTCATGGGAGGGTGGCAAATACCTGCCTGGCAAGTTACTTGGCCAGACTACAGACCTGGTGGCCCTGCACAGTTCCATCAGCTGGGGGTGGGGTTAACCTGACTGCAGCAGGACATGGGAGGTGAGGTAACTCTCCTCTGTTACCGTTCCAACTCCCTTCCATTGAACAGTCTGAAGGCACCAGTCGTAGAGCTTCAGTGGATGGTGCAGCAAAGGAAAAAATATCTTGTTTTCACAGAAAAGATTAAACCTGGAGATGACGCAGGCATGCCTGGAATAGAAGAGAATGACCCTGCCAAAGGTGAAGATACACTCACTGGTTAGTATCTCAAATCTAATGTTGGTTTTCTCTTGCATTTCTGCTCACTCCATAGACAGATATTTGAACTGATAAATGGGACCCAGGATACTTAAAAATGCCACTCTGACAAATAAGATTGGTGATGTTTTCCTTACACATGCAGTAAAACACATTTGCAGCCTTATTTCTGGGTTCTTAACTATGTTGTTTTTCAGTTGGCATTGACAGTTGGCACTAACCACTTAATGTCCCATTCTGATCCGAAATAGGAGAGAGAGGGGTTGTAAGGCAGGACTTCTTCATGGAAGTCCTGATCCTGGTTAGGAAATGTTTTTAAGATCTTCCTTTTTAAATGGGTTGTAATAAGAGGAGCCTTTTTAGATACTTTTTTGATTCTTAAAACTTTTGAGAGATTGCTATGTTGACGGAGGACTTCTGTGTACTGTCAAGTCCCAAGTTTGAGCTAATGTATATTTGTTAATAAATGCACTGTTTTTTCACCAAATCTGGACTTGCCCATTTTTATTCATTGGTTGTTAATGCTGGCGGATGCTATAATCCGCAAACCCTTCAGGGCTACTAGGATACAGAGGGGATTCTCTGATTCCTCCAGGAACCGGGATTATGACCATTATAACTAGGGAGATTTATGGTGAACATCTTCATTTGCTTAGAGCCATAGCTGGATCCTGTTGCAAACATTGGCCTTTAGCAGAATTATTTTTTGGGCCTCTTTGAACCAAGTACTAAATAATTGCTTTGTAATACATTTAATTAGTTTTTACACCTGTGAGTCATGGTATGAATTTATGTTTTTAGCTTTGAAGAAGCCACTTTTTTCAACTTCTCAAAATCAGCATCAGCCTGGTGGAAAAGTTTTCACAGAAAAAAACCGTACTCTAAATCTGGCTCCAGGTGAGATCATGTGTACTGGGTGAACATCTTGTTGATTTGCCCTTCATCATGCGCTTTATACACTTTTCTCTGTGTCCTTGAACTCTGACTGTGTATTTTTGTCTGCCCCAGCTGCAATACTGGAGGGTAATACTGACATGGTAAACCAGGTACCGGCAAACTATCTTCAGCGTGCAATTTCTGATCACACATTGGACATTCAAAGAACCAAAAAACAGCTTGCAAAACAGGCTTCCAAGGAGAGAGTCAACAACTTTCAGAGAATGAAGCAAAGTGAGTCAGACCATGATCATTGAGCATAATTGCATGTGTTATCTCAAGTTCATTAAAACACCTAATATCTACCAGCTGACTGTTTTAAGTATATTTGTATTCAGATGTCTTTGTTTTTAAAAATCTTAGCCATTAATTGCTGCACTATAAACTCATCTCAGAAGCTCTGAGCTCTACCTTCTAGACCTCCTACTCAACATGCTAGGGAAGCTCATGGTCCACCAGTGGTATGAGGTTTGTGACTCCATCATCCTGCAGTGCTGTGATCAGAGCTTTGTGTAAGTCCTATCCAGAAATGGCTTCTGATGAAACAAAGGAAGTGTACTCTGCAGTGTTTTATGTCTATATGGAATGCATGCAGCTAACATAAACTGTCTTTGCTGGAAAAAGTATACCAAGCTCTAGGATAATTAGCCTCTCTTAAGGGACTAATGAATCAGATGTTCAAATTTGAGATGGCCATCAGGGGTGAGTTGGAGGGTTCCTGCTCTTTAAACAAAACAAAATAACCTCCCATCTCACATATTGATTGCCTTCTTCAAACTCTTGGGTTCATGATGTAAACTTGTGGAAGTTGCAAATCTAAATCATGAACACAAAAAGGATCTAAAGACCATTTTTACGCTGCCTGATGTCAGTGTGCATGATACCATGTGCCATAAGAAAAACACTGCATGAGAGTGATGGGCATGGGAAGATGCCAGAAAGCACATTGCTACCCACCTCAGGTTTGCCAGAGAGCACCTAGGTGATCTAGTCAGCCACTGGAACAACATTTTGTCGGCAAATAAGAAAAGAACTTATTAAATGCGTTGGAATCAAGCAACGTAATGCTTGGAGAAAACAAAAACTTGTTTCACAATTTGTACTTTTCTAAAATATTGGGAATTTTCTATAGGCTGGAGTATGTTAATTATTGTAAATAATTGACCAGACGTTTTCATCAGCTCTGATAAATGGAGGTCAAGGTATGCTTAAAAAGTATCCAACCGGTATAAATTGCCTTCATTTAAAGCAAGCATTTAAAATCTCTGCATGAAAAACACAGCAAATTGAACCTTGAAAAGTAACCGTTCTGTGACAAAAACAGGATTTGTACAACACGTCAGATTTTGGACCCATCTTGCTAGTTATTTAGCCAAAGAAGGCGATATTGCTTTCCCTCACAACAGAAGTAAGGATCTTGGGACACGAAGCGAAATGTCTACTCTTGACTCATATTGTGATTTTTTTTCCCTATGAAGTTCTGTATAAAGAATACTCACCTTTCTGGGGTTTCTGGTGCTGGAGGAGCTGCAAGTTCCTTTTTACAGCTTCCCGAAGGGCTGACACTGAAGCCTCCCCTGTTCTCTCTGCCCTCCCTCCCCCCTTCTCCTGGCTTCTGACTGATCCTTTGCCTACTTCACAGGCCGGTTCTTTGATGAGAATGAGTCCCCCGTTGATCCTCAGCATGGATCTAAACTGGCGGATTATAATGGGGACGATGGGAACGTGGGTGAGTATGAGGCAGACAAGCAGGCTGAGCTGGCCTACAATGAGGAAGAGGATGGTGATGGTGGTGAAGAAGACGTCCAAGGTGAGCTTGGGCCTTATCTCCATCCCATTCACTTAACTTCATCATGTAAAAAAAAAACTCTTGGGATTTGTATAGAGTTCCATTATTTGGCTGGTGCCATGGAGAAAGGTTTTTCCGCGGACCAGAGGGGGTGTGGTTTTGAATACTGCCTACATCCCAAGGATGGAGCTTTGCTTGTTTGTGCGGCCTGTTTGCTGGCATGCTGCGGACCGGTGCTGGTCCATGGACCGGGGGTTGGGGACCCCTGCCTTATAGCATTGTAAGTGTTACTTAGTTGGGTAATAAAATCTCTGCAAGAAAACAAGTTCAGAGAGCACCAAGGACTTCACAGTTCAATCCTGAGCTTCAAATTTTGTCTTCTATTGGACTTGGAAAGGATTTAATAGGATGAGAGGGGCACATTAAACAATGAAGCGAAAGTGAGGTTATAAAATACAAGACTGCTGAAATTCAGTCCTCTGGAATGTCTGGCTAAATCGGGTGAGTAATCAGCAGATGGCACCAGCCTTACTGCAGCCAGAGCAGCTGGGCCTCAAAATTGGACCCACTTGGGAGGAAGCATGTAAGGCAAAGGCGGGGGGGGGGGGGCACTCAAGCTTTATAAAACATAAAGCAACCCTGGGCTTCATCCCCTTAAGGCCAGGCAAGGGACATCTCAAAATCCCATGCTCTGGTCGTGTGACTATGGGGCTTAGGATGGAGAAGCTGGCCACTTGTCAAATCCTGGCTTCTTCCATAAGGGTCATTGGGGAAACTTGGTCTCAGTCTTTCTGGTCCAATTTCAGACGGCATCTTTCTTTGACCAGCTTCTTCCTGCACACGACATTGCATCCTGTTCTGTTCAGTTTTGAGTCAGATAAACTGAGCAGTCCCAACATCCTTCACATAATTCATTTCTCTATGGTCGTTAGATTGGAAAGAAAAGAAAAAAACCATCTGGTCCAGTTTTCTGTTACAGACAGGTCTGATGGGCAAATGGGTGCATTGTTTAATTCCCAAACCAAGTTGAGGGGCTGAGAAATCTGGACTCATCAGTTGCGTTGATGTTGCAGTACTGCAGCACCCCAATCCCAGCCAGGTGTGAAAAGGAAAAGGCAGCCTTTGCAGCCAGGTGCTCCTCCTGCCTCCCCCCTTCTCGCCCATTTGTAGGAGAGAAGTGAAGGTTGGTTCTCCTCCTTGCCTTGCAGATGATGAGGAGCGGGACCTCCAAATGGATCTGGTGGACTATGGGAAACCACGCTTTAATGATGTCCTTTAAAGCCTCAATGACTTTCTTCTGAGAGATGATTCTGCAAGCCTTCAGTGTTTGGGGCAAAAGAACCAGGAGACCAGAGGCAGTGCGCTGTCCGACGTGAAACCTTGGAAGCAAAAGGTAAAATGCAGTCATGTGCGTCTAGTGGGTTCCAGCCCTTTGCAAATAAGAGAGATGCTTTGTCCTACAAGATGAGGAATGGGTTATTTACCGGACTGGGCTGTAAGACTGTTCTTTATCTGTAATCTTTGTGTTAAAAATTAACATTGCAAAATAATTTTACATGTTTCTGAAATAAAGTGAATGTGTACAGTTTGTATCTCATACATAGTCATGACTTCATTGCAGAAAAAAATATATAGATGGAACATTGAAACAGCAATGTATTTAATTCATGCAGGGAAATTGTTTTCTCTCGTCTTGTGACTTGTATTTTATGGTAACATTTCATTTTGAAAAAAATAAGACTGAAAATAGATTGTATGTGTGTATGAAAGAACTTTGTTTAACACAACTCTGCAAGGTCTATGTGGCAGTGAAATCATACAGGAAGTTAGCCCTAGGAGAATGACTTAACGTTACCCATAGCAAATGTTTTGCAAAAGTATTCTCATTTTATATATTTTTATTAGGCTCTGAATCGGCAAACAGTATTTTGAGCATTGAAAAGCTATATTCGTTAACCCGTGTTTTTCTTTACAGCAGTGGCCTTTGATTGTATGCAGTGATAGATTAATTTATTTAAACTTGCTTAAAACTGAAATCTTGGATTTTTTAAATTCATTCCTCCCTAAACCCGTTGTGTCCAGCTCCTGAGTGATGCTGTTCTCTTTTTAACGAAAGTACGACTGGAGGGGTCCTGCAAGAAAATGGAAAAGGGGTCCCCAGTCACACATGTTCAGCGAAGGGCATCGTCTGTTCCCCGGGGGGAGGGGGGCAGATGGAGCAAGTACTTTGGGATGTTCACAGCAACTGTTATGTCCTGACAGTGACAGGCTGTTAACCCTGATGATTTTATCAACAAGGGCTACTGTGAATAAAATGTTCAAGTCCTATATGTCAGGGTTGATGGTCTCTCACTACAGATCGTTCTTGCTGAAGGACAGCGATTGGGAGTGGAAATTCCCAATGCCATCACTAAGTGATATAGTCATAAAGCGCAATGTCACATGAATGTGCTACTTAGTATGGCAGTTTCAATATTTTTGGTTGCCATTGTTAAATAAATTCTGTGGTGTTGCTAATTGCAATTCCCATGGCTGCCATTTGTAACTGCCTTGACTTTGATTGCCGGAAGCCAGCAGTGAAGCTCACAGATAGCGACTGTGGCACCGTGGGATGTTGCAACATTATAGTTGAGTCGATTGCTGAGCACCCAGATGGAGATCCCATAACTGCAGGTATGCTTTGACCATTGTAAGTAAAAGGACCAATTAGAAGCACCACTTGGTTCAGTGCTGTTGTAAGTCGACTTATTGAATGAGTGGTCATTAAGCGAGAGCCACCTGTATTTCTGGGCTCAGGTTAAAGTTCATTTTTGATGAATAAAATCCATTTGTGATCACTGCATTACACTGAATTGCATTAGAAAAGTATTCATTTCTGACAATTAAAATAGAAGTCTCTGCCTGGGATTCTTTTGAGCCATGAGACAAAAGCAGGGTCCCTCAAGGGGAATTGTTCTGCCTGCAACTTTTCCCCCCTATGCTATAAAAAACTGCTGGGTTTGCACACAAATATAAGGCTGAATCTGTAGCCCTGTCCTGTTCTTCACCCCCCACCCACCCCCAGTCTGTCTTTATGTTGCAACTGATGAAATGACAGAACTATTTCCAAAGCTAGGTGTAATTTTGTTAAGAATCTGCTGTTGAAGTTGAACATTTAATAGGGTTTAATAAAAGCTTAATGTAGTTTGTGTCTGCCTTTATGTGTTCCTCTCTCCTCTTGGCAACACAGTGAAAGGAAATGAAGATTTCCCACATCTTTGACACAACTTTGTTTCTAACAGAGTTGTGTATGTGTACATGTTTTCTCTTTAAATATAATCCCTTACATTTCTCTGTGAAATATTGTTTTGGTCCTCTCTGCCCAGTTTTCCACCCTCTCCAGATTAATTACAATCTCCATTTTCCAATTTTGATAAGCAATCCATCAATCTCATTGTCCTTATTGAAAGTATTGAACGCTGGCCCCAAGATTGAGCCCCACTGGTCACTCCTCCGTCTCCATCTGCAGCCGTCCATGCTGGCCAGAGAGGCCTCTGGTGCACGTCCTGCCATTGTGCCGGTCTGCGGGCACTCTGCTACTCCGGGGGGGGGGCTGCCTGGCTACACTTCATGCATGTGGAGCCGAAGCCGGTGCGGGACCCCTGGGCATCTAGCCGTGCCGTGCCCCGGGGCTCCTGCTTCTGTCCAGGAAAAAGGCGCCGGATCCAGGGTCAGCCCGAGTGGCTCACCGACGGGGAGTCTCGGCCGCCCCTTAACAGGGAAACCCTCGGGAAGCTTTGCGGAGGGCAGGCGACGCCTACAGCTGGAGCAGCGCCCGGCCAAGACGCGACGCGCCTCGGCTCGGCCCCGCTTTCCTGGGGAAACCTCGCCGGGGGGCTCCGGCTTTCTCCAGCCCTGCGGCCCCGGCCGCCCGCCCTCCAACCCGGGCAGCGGAGGGCAGAAGCCCCCTCGCGCAGAGAAGCCGCTTTCTCGCGGGCCTCGCCCCGCTTGCCGCCGCCGCCGCCGCCGCGCTTTGTTGTCCGCGCCGGCCGGCAGGCGCTCCCCGCGGCCTGGGCCCTGCTGCTCTCCGAAGGCGACCCCGGCGGCCCTGCGCGGAGCCCCGCACGGAAAGACCGCCCGCCTCGGCCGCCCCGCCCCGCCCCGCCCGCACGCCTGCGCAGTGGCGGCATCAGGCAGGCCGCTGGGCTCGCGCCTTCCCTCCCCCGCCAGCATCCGGGTCCTTCCGCGCGGTGCAGCAGGTCGGTAGGCGGGAAATGGCGACCGGCCGCTGCTGTGGCTGCTGAGCGCGACCGAGCCCCGGCGGCGGCAGCGGCGGCGGCGGCGGCGCTTGGTGCGACCCGCGCGGCGGGGGAGGCCTGCCGAGCCTGGGCTGCCCTGCCGCCGCGGTGCCGGGCTCCGGCGGCGGGGAGGCGCCGGCCTGCCGCACCTTCCTCTCAGCGCTTCGCAGGTAACCGCCGCGAGCGGCGCGGGAGGCGGCGGCGGCGGCGGCAACGGCGGGCTCGGGCAGCGCGCCCGTGGCCCGGGGCTCCCGCGCAGGCCTTCCGCCCGCCCCCGCCGGCCTAGGCCGAGCTGGGCGCCACGGGCGCCCCTGTTGCTCTTGCGGCGCGGGCGCCTCCGGGCCGGGCCGGCGAGTGCCGCCTCCGCCGCGCCTGGTGGGCTCCGTCGGGCCCTTAGCAACCGGGCCCGCGAGGCGGGCGGAAGCGGCGGCCCAAGGTCATCCGCGCGCGGGGAGTCTCCGCCGGACGATCCCGCCAGGAGCCGCCGAAGCGCCCGGAGCGTTTGCCCTGGCCGAGCCCCGGAGGCGCGCTCTTCCCCCCCGGGCGGCGGGAGGAGCCCTTGGGGCCGGGGAGCCGCCTTTGTTCCCCGCGGCCAGCGCCGGGGAGGCGGCGGGCCCCGTGAAGCCGGGGCGCCGGGGCTTCGTCTCGGCGGGCGGGGAGTCCGAGACCCCCGGAGCGGAAGCCGGGCCAGAGTTTGCCTGTCTTGGGCCGCTTCACCCGCTCGCGGCCGGGTGGGGAAACGGCGGCCAAGTCCGTAGTTTTTAAGCGCTTTCCCTGTGGTCGAATTCGGTTCTATCATGACTTGATTAAATACACAAGTACATTCTGGAAAACTGACTGTTTAAAATGTGGCACAATAGAAATAATGGGCAAGGAGACGGTAGCGGTAAACAGGGAAGAGAAGTAGCGGTGCTGCAACGACTGGGGCTTTGAGAAGACTCCGGCAGGAGAGGGATGGGGAGACTAGAGAGTAAATGGGGTGGGAGGATTTACCTTTTGAGATTTCTAGGGCTTCTCCTGGTACATAAGTACAGGACAGTTCTAAGGTGGCTTCAAATCTATTTGCTCATTGATTACTGCTTGCTTTTACTGGACAAATAATTTAATCTCTGTTTTCCATTTTTTTCCATTAGTAAAATGGGAATAATACATCACAAACTGCTGGTGCTGCAAGGGTTAATTACTTAATGTTAATAAAAGGATTTGAAGATTAAAAAGTCCCTACAAGTAAGTTACTAAAGTTCATATTAGTTGTTGAAGTTTAATAGTGGTTTTTATTTATTCTGCTATTGAAGAAATGGAGACACCACTCACTACGATGAATGTTGTTTTTGGGTGGGAGAGAAGGAATAACCACTGTGTGTTTTGCCTTTCCTGTTCATCGTAAGCATAATTTAAATGTTGCTTTAGTGACATGCATGCATTACACCTTCTCCTGAGCTATTACTTAACGCTTCAAGGAATGGTTTTTATAAATGTAGTCATCAGGGGTTTATGAATTTTCACTTGGCAAGGTAGCTGGCCATAATTTGTGGCCATGAGTAATCCTTCTCACCACCATATCCTCTGTGTATGCCAGATAACTGGGAGCCTCTCAGTGTGCTCTGGGCATTGGAAGAGGCAGAGGCCTAGGGATATTTTATTATTGGATTTTTAATCAACTTTTAAAAATAAGAAAGGCCTATTTAAATATATTTTTNTTTTTAATTTGTTTTAATTTTGTATATTGTATCAATTGTTCTGTTTTTAATTGGCTGTAAGCCGCCCTGAGTCCACCAGGAGAAGGGCGGGATATAAATGCAATAAACTTAAACTTAAACTTAAACTTAAATCTGTTGTACTTTCTGCCTGCTGTCAAACTGAATAGAAAAAAGCGTAAGCTGCTGCTTTCTCTTCTAAACTTACTTGAGTTTTATTTGTGCTCCCTTGGGTCTAGACCAGGTTAGCCGTGCCCCAGTATCCCAGTGGATGGCTCAGAAGGAAGATTGTCCCCTCTGAAAGGGAAGTGAGGGAGGTTTATAATGAAGGAAGGCAACCCACCAAAAAGGAGTGACGGAGTCTGCAGATTGCAGTACAGAAATGCTGGCTGTCATAGCTGGCCCAGGTATCTGCAGACTGTAGGACATATAGTGCCACACCTTTTGAGGCCCCCAGATGGGGGAAAGCTCCAGTGAACAAGAAAAAACTAGGTTTTTCTCCCCAAGGAAGAAATTAGACCCAGAAAAAAATAAACTTAGAAAGCTGTGTTATACTAGATCATTTACCTCAGCTTTATTGCTCTGACTGGCAGTGGCTCTGCAAAATCAAAATGACAACTCTTTCCCATTAGCTGCCATGCAATTGTTTTACTCCTAGACCTTTTGCATGTGCATCTGCCATAGTTTGGGTAGAAGAGGTGAGCAAGTCCTTGAGGAGGTCGGTTGGTGATGTGGATTTATTCTTTGAGAGTATTGTGTGTAAAAAGACAAGGGCACGCTTTATTTGCTTTCTTACAAACATTTGTAGCCTAGCTTTCTGTACCCTGAGGTACCCTGTACTCCTAGAGGCTTGGCTGCTGGACTGCATACCAATTAGTTCAATTAATCAGGGTAATTGCTTTGATTCCTTAGATGTTTTGTTCTTTGCTAAAAATTCTTAACTTTTCTGAAAAACTCTGTGGGACACTTTATTTTAATTTGTAGATGGTTTTATTATTTAGAAGTGACTGGTACTGGTTTCTGGAATCTTATTCTAGTTCAGTCTTTTTAGTAATGTTGCACTCCATTAATTAGTTTCAGTCATGTCAAAAAGTAAATATACTCCGTGTACGCTTGCTTTCTCTTTTTTAAGAGAAATATTTTCAAAAATATCAATATTTTATCTTCAGAGTATATAAAAGGCAAAGATAATATACAGGTAGTCCTCCACTTACAACCATTTATTTAGTGACCCAACAAAGTTACAACAGCTCTGAAAAAAGTGACTTACGGCCACTTTTCCACGCTTGCGACTATTGCAGCATCCCCATGGTCATGTGATCAAAATTTGGATGCTTGGCACCTGGGCTGCGTTTATGATGGCTGGAGTGTTCCAGGGTTCCCTTTTGCGACCTTTTGCAAACTCAGCGGGGAAGCCAGATTCACTTAACAATCGTGTTACTTAACGGCAGTGATTCACTTAACAACTGTAGCAAGAAAGGTCATAAAACGGGACACAATTCATTTAACAACTGCTTTGCTTAGCAACAGAAATATTGGGAATTATCGTAAGTTGAGGGCTACTTGTAATTGAAGAAAAATGAAACAGTGACTTTGCAATCATTTATTCAACAAAAAATTAAGAAATATGCCATTTTCTTCTGTAGAAAAGTAAGCAGACAAATCTTGACTTTAATATCTGATTGCCCCCTTTGGCAGAAAGAGCCTTAAGTAGGAGACCTGTTGCTGTATTTTCTGTTCTTGTCTTACATAGCTTTACATGTGACACCATCAAAAATGAGGCTGAGAACACGGAAAGCTTCTCAGCAGTCAAATCAAAATCACACACAGCGTGCATTGAGAGTAAAGAGGAAATACTCAGAGGTGGAAGAGAACATATCTGTTGGTGGAGGAAAACTTCAGAAAAATGAAACTGGCTTACTATCGTCAATTAAAAAGTTCATTAAAGGAAGTACCCCAAAGGTAAATAAATATTCAGGAATTACTATTATGTTTTGACATGATTGTGTTAATCTGCATAATATATCTTCCAAGACAAAAGCAAACATTTAAAAAGCAAACAAGACAAAAGCAAACATTTAAATAGCAATCATTAAAACATTTGGAATAAAATCAGTTGTAAATCTATTCAGGAAACACGTGAAAGAGCTGTCTGAAGACAGCAAGCATTTTCCAGAGAATTTCTAGTATGGTTAAAAATGTTCTAACTCTAGTTCTTGCCAGGCTGATGATGCCTCCTAGTAGGTCAGCTTTGAAGAGATACTGGTTTCTTAAGTTCCTCTGCAGGCAGCCCTGCTGATAGTTTAGTTTACTGGCTGTTGTGTCAGCATCGTCATTTTGTCCAGAAATAGGTTGGTAGCCCTTGTGGGATCAGTATAATGTTTAGCCCCTACAGGATGCTCCGGTCGTTTTCTGAGCCCTCAAGCCTGCCTGGCTCAGCCAGTTCAATTGAATTGAATTGTATAAATTCTAAATTTTCCCTTTTAAGAGAGCAGTAAATACTTGGCTAGTCTAAAAGCCAGCTGAGGGAACAAAAAGAAATAAAAGAAACCCACTGGTGAAACTGAAGTCAAATGTGGGGAATTCCCAGTCGTGACTACGTGCCTGCAGTGCATAAGCATTGCAATTCTATCGGGAGCAAACGCTTTATCCTGATTTTTGAAGAAAAGTTCATTGGAACAGTGGGGAGGTTCATTTCAGTTGAGAGAAAATAGATTTATAAAATGCTTTATAAAAAAGCAATGAAGAATCCAGAATAAAATTAAGGATCAACAATATATATTCACTTTCCATCTATGAACTATCTCTATGGGTGGAACAGAAAAGGTGATCAATGTAGCTGACATTTAAAAATTGGACAGAGTGATTTTTCTATATAGAACATATGTTTCTTTGTTATGTTTGTTTTTTATGGGCTTGGGAGTTTATTTTTCTCTTTCTGGCATGTTAAAGCAGTGAAAAAAATTAAAACAAATAGTATGATCTAAATATTTAAGAATTCAAATTTGAATTAAGTTTGGTGGGTTATTTTTTACTTTTATGACATATTTTCTGCCAAAAGCCTATGAAATAAAAAGGATGGAAAAAAAATAGATGTTGGAAATTTAACTTCCATGAAAGCAGTACAAATGGACAGTGAGAGTTTGCTAGTAAAGGGAAAGGTATAATTTTGTGGGGTTTTTTTATTATTATTAAGGACGAACGAGAACACCCTGCAAAGAGAAGTAGAATTGAACGTGACATAGATGACAACTTAATTACATCCACTCCACGAACAGGAGAAAAGCCTCACAAACAGCTTTCTCGAGTGAAGCGGAAAAGTCCCGCGAATGGAGGTTTGTAAATATTCCAGTCATTAGTTCAGAGGAGGGCTTTGGTTCTTCTGCCATTGAAATTTTTGACCCTGGTTTCAAAAAAGAAGAGAACGACTGCAGGACTGCTGATAGTATGAGAAGCATTTGTGTTTTACTTCAAACATTTTCTTCTTTATTGTGCAAAGTAATTTTCTTAAAAATCTAAACTAAACCATGTTGCCAGATTTGCAGATTGGAAAGCAGTGCTAAGAAAGCACAGAGCACAGAGAAAGAGAATTGAATGCTCATGCATGACCACATTATTTTTTTTACACAATTAATAGGATAACTTTCTCTTCCGTGAAAACAGGCGTCCCTGCAAGGGAATGCTGCATTTTTGCTTTGCTAACTATATAAGCACTTCTACTACCTGCAGTTTATAATTGCCTATTAACGGGCATGGCCTATCACAAACTAATGTAATAAGCAGCATATTTATAACAATATGGTGATTAAAAAAGAAAAAGTTACCAATATCAGATTGATTTATAAATATTTATATGTTTGTTTATATAAAATTTATTGGCTGCTCATCTCAGGGTAACTCTTAACAAATATTTACAAATCTTTTATTTTATTTATCAAATATAGTAACCACCCATCTCCCATACGGAGGCTGATCATATGATCTGAATTAACAATTTACAGTAAAAACACCTCTGCTGCAGCTTTTAGCTCACTTTTTAAAATTATAACATTTTGTGTGTTTCTGAAAGATTTGTGTATGGCAGAGTCAGTGGAGTTTCTCAGACTACGAGTTAGCCAATTGTGAATCTTCATTGCCTTGGGAACCATGAGCCCTAAGAGTGTCAGCCTTGTGGTTGTGCCAGCTAAGGCATGGCTTTCTAAGGTTTAAATCCTGTAGTGCATTTGTGCTCATCTAGGAATCTGATATTTAATTGAAACTTTGTCACCTATATTTCCAACCAATATTGGAAAAATCACACTAGAAACTGTGCACTTTTTGTTCGTCTGTTCTAGAAGCTGGGAATTATGAAATGGCCAACCAGCATGTCCGGCAGAATGGAAAATTGGATGATAATCCCACCAGCGGCAGCCCCCCAAGGACTACATTATTGGGGACCATATTTTCTCCTGTCTTCAATTTTTTCTCACCAGCAAATAAAAATGGCAAGTACTGCACAAAACTGTATTTAGCTCTTACATGCATCTAAAGTTGTTATTATGAAATAGTTGTTTCCTATTTGGAAAAAATGGCAAACGGGAATATATTCTGTTAGGTTTCTTTTTAGATCTTAAATACAGACACAGAAGAGTACCTGCAAATGCTCACCTTAAGAGCACTAGCATTAACCCAGAGCATTATTGCAGGAACAGCAGGCTCAGATTCTCCAGGCCAAGCTGTGGAGGCTGAAGAAATCGTGAAGCAGCTTGATATGGAGCAGGTGGATGAGATTATTACCAGCACTGCTGTCTCAGCCAACGGAGCGTCCTACGCCAGCCAGACAGCCCAGGTCCGAACGACCATCAGCACTGTCTTGGAGGAAGTGGATGATGTGGCTGACTGTGATCTGCCTCCGCTGACTGGTAAGGAGAAAGCATTTTTGTTTCTCTGAGCAGCTCCTGGCTCCAGCGTTGTACTTCTCCCCCAACCTGCACGTGGGGCAGCCAGAGAGTCAAGAGACACGGCAGCCCCAAACTGTTGAGAGCAAAGAAAACATTTGGGCATACGTGTGTTTTTCCTGATTAAATTCCTTCAGTGTTTTATCTTATAAATGGCCTAGAGCCCTTAGGAGTTCAGCAGTCTATAGATGTGATTAACAAATGATAAATACATTGTTATTAGGAAACCCTGGTCATTTATATCTACAGGCAGTCCTCGACTTACAACAGTTCATTTAGTGATCGTTCAAAGTTACAATGACACTGAAAAAAGTGACATCATCATTTTTCACGCTTATAACATCCTCAGGGATGTAGCATCCTCATGGTCAAGTGATTTATAGTCAGATGCTTGACAATTGACTCATACTTATGGCTGCAGTATCCCAGAGTCATGCGATCTCTTTTTGCAACCTTCGGATAAGCAAAGTCAATGGGGAAACCAGATTTACTTAACAACCATGTTACTAAGTTAACAACTGCAGCATTCACTTAACATATGTGGCAAAAAAGTCGTAAAATGGGGCAAAACTCATTTGACAGACGTCTCAGCAGCAGAAATTTTGGGCTCAATTGTGGTCGTACTCGCTTTACTTGAGCATGAATGTATTCTGACAAACAATTTCCTTATGCATTATGCTTCATCTACACATGTACACAAACCTCAAAGCCAAGGGCAGTATCACTCTGGCTAATAAGAATTTAATTTGATAATATTGTTTTCTGTTTAAGGTTTGTATTCATTTACTTAATGGAACATTTGTACCAGCCCAGTCAGATGACTATCAAAACAGAATTCCACAATACAATAGGACATAAGTGTGAAAGAAAACAGATGGTAACCATCATCTTTACTAGACACTTAAACTGCTAAAGGTTTGGTTTAAAAAGATTCATATTTGACTCTGCACATAATTTTTATCATGTCAGTAACAACATACCTGTGAATTTTTACCTGGCTCTCACTTGCAAAAATTCCTAACCATTTGGAGTTTGATACAGATATATCTATTTTTAAGAGTCAAATTATAAGCTTAAAAAGTATTGATGATAGTTCTTAAGAAAAGTGGAAGACAAATAGAAATATTTTAACAACTAAATGATCAACTGCACTGTTAAGAGAAAATTTCTCTTTCCTTCTATAAACTAATGAGGAACTTTTGTGTTTTGTTAGCACCAGTATCTCCAGACAGTGGTTATTCATCAGCTCATGCAGAAGCCACCTATGAAGAAGACTGGGAAGTCTTTGATCCGTACGTGTTCATACGTGTGTGTGTGTGTAAATAAAAATATTTATGACAAAGAATTCAGCTGGTGCCTGCTGGCAAAACAGTAGCTAAGATTGGCCTTCTGTAAAACCAAAGAAGGGGGAAACAGATACTTGAAGAGCCCTAAATCTGGGGGGGAAAGCCAAATTTTTACAAGGCAAGAACCATAGAAAAAGGAGTGTTGGGCTAGGTGGAATAGTTAACATGTTTTCAGAAGTTCCAGTTCTGAAAACAGTTTCTTCCCCAACTAGCATATAATTATATGGTTCATCTAGTAAATCTGTGGGTAGAATTATTATTAATATACATATGCCTTTATCATAATTTAAGAGTAAAGTATTCATTCTCTGATTAATGATCAAACCGTGATATAACTCATTTTTAGATACTACTTCATCAAACATGTTCCACCGCTAACAGAAGAACAACTTAATCGGAAACCTGCTCTTCCATTGAAAACCAGAAGTACACCAGAATTCTCTTTAGTTCTAGACTTGGTAAGAAAAACGTATTTGATTGCTTGCTTCACTTTTTAGGGAAAGATACTCTCTCTAGGGCTGTTTCAGAGAACACATTCTTTTCTGCCCCTCTGCTAAATTCATTTTTTAAATTATCCGTAGGATGAAACATTAGTCCACTGTAGTCTAAATGAACTGGAAGATGCTGCACTCACGTTTCCAGTCCTTTTCCAGGATGTCATTTACCAGGTAATCCAAATCAGGTTACGGTGAAATTGCTCCCGTGGAATTAAAGGGCAAACATTATGTATCTGATATCTTTTTGATCTCCTAAAAGGTTGCTAATTTAGCAGCTATTGGTTATATTCTATGAAATATTGTTAAGCAAGCCATCAGAACTTAGAGGAGTTGTGGTGTATGGTTTACTACTTCGACTATTTCCATATAATTGCATTGTAAAACTATCAACCGTGAGGAAGCTAGACGTATTCCTCCTTGCCAGGAGGTGAAGAAAAAGGCCTTCTGAGTCCACGTGGCTCTTTGATAGAACAAGGGCCTGCTGCAGACTTAGGTTTTCTTCCTCGCCTGTGGAAACCGGCTCACGCTAGCTAAGCCCTCCATTCTGAAGGGGACGTCAGCATTGGGAATGACTTGCTTTTAGACGTAGATCCGTTCCTTCATTCCTAGCAAGGTGCTGTCATGTGGCAAGCGTTGCTTTGTTGGTGAAGACTGCGAGATTGTTAGCTGTTGGTGGTGCTTCGCAACATATTCTTTGCTCTCATCTACGGTGCATTTAATAATTCTGCCAGCGAAGAACAGGAGGGGAAGGAGGAGGAGAAGGAGGTGTATTCCAGCAACTGCCAAAGATGCTGCACTGACCCCGGCTGTTGTTCTCAGGTCCCTATTGTGTGATGTACCTGGGAGTAGCAACAGCTTCCCTCCATGTAGTTCGCACGATATTGGACCCCTCTGTAGTATCTTTGGAGAATGACATCAGACATCTTAAACGGACACTTGTCCAGGTATTTTACCCTAATTTTAAAACTTGTCTTTTGTCTTTTGTTTTATTTACAATCCTTCAACACCCTGAAACATAACATGAAATCTTCCAAAGTACATACACACTTGGGTTTCTTATCTTCTCTCTGATGACGGCAGTAGTCAGAATCCTCTTCATTTACCTACACTTGGAGGATGTAGTTATTCATTCTGGGCAGTAACTGGACTATGCCTTTTTTCCTGTTGTAGCCTATTTGGATCTCTTGCCTATGGTATATATTATTCAGAATAACTGTGTCTATTTTCTTGGGTTATTTACAAAAATGACTTATTTTGAAATAATAAAAAAATGTAAAATTTGCATTTGACAGACCCTAAATCTTGCTAGAAGCATATCTTTGACTCCTGGCACCTTTTTTCCTTAATAAGTGCAGACCTTTTTCAGGGCATGTGCTCTCCAACCCCCCAACCCGTTTTCATCTGGGGCTTCTTAATCACTTCTCCAGTGTAAGCATTTCTTAGGAGCTGCAATTGTGAACGTCTCAGAATCAGTCCCAATATGTCATTGTGGAGCTCAAGACAAAGGGCCGTATTGAGCACGGTTCCCTGTAAGCCAGTCTCTGAGTCCCTGTGCTTAGGGCAAGGCTTGTTTTCATCTAGGACCAGAGCGAGCACTGAGGATGCCTCTGGAGGGTCTGTTCCTGGGTGAGTTGGCGGGGTGTTGCATCCGGTTTGATAAAGGCCCAGCTCAAGTTCAGATCTTCCAAGCATACCCTTTTAACTTGTTTTATCTTAGTAGCTTGTTATTCTTGTTAACTCTTGAAACATCAGCTTCAACATTTTTAGACAATCTGAAAAACGGTTGAATACAGGAAGAAGAAATGTCAGACTTTTTAAATAAATCCACAAACACCCTGTTGCAAATCCACTTATTTCAGCAGGAGTCTTGAGTAATTGAGCTGCTTCGTTAGCTGCATCTTGCCTTTAATATAAATAATAGTAGCAGTGATCAATCATAGTGCTAAAGTATTGCACCACTACAACCTGTGTAACTTGAAAGGAAGGCGCGATTGAGGAATGACCTCCGGTAAGTTTAGGTAGGGATGGGGTGGGGTATAAGGTCTTTCTCTTTTTCATGCTCCCCAGGAAGTATTGAATGTGCGTGTCTTAACAGCAGAGGGCTGACTTAAAATTCTTGATCATGAATCTTCTCCCCCCCTTTTTTTTGCTCTCTGATATACCTTTTAGAATGATAATATACCTTTTATGAAGGCCAAAGAGAAGGCAAAGGTTGGTAACTGAGATGTATGTAGCTATTGCTTAATATGAAGAATTGATACTGATAAAAAGATGTTGATCTCAACATCAGATGCCTAAGAATAATATTTCTCTTAAACTAAGTCTTTGCTGGTGACTTTCTGGTGGAAAATGTAGACAAAAGTAATTCAGTTGAGTTTTGAGCAAAATTCTGTTTAGTGACATAAAAAGAGCTTTTCCTGGGAATTCTGCATTGGTGGACATAAAAATGTTGTTTCTGTTAAAACTCACTTGTCGAATATGTCTTTGTGGGTGAACTAACTTGTCTGATGAAAAAGAATCTTAAATCTCAAAAACTTGCATTTATAAAAGATTATCTCTGTTGTGTTTCTGTTCTAATAAACAGAATGTTCAAAGCAAAAAGGTTGCCTCTAAAGGTTATTATAGCTATGCCTTTCTACAAATATACTAGTCACTATTACTTTTTCATAGATTATTAAAAATTAAAATAACCAATAATGTTAATATATTAAACAGTGTGCCCTACTCTGTAATTTCTGAAGTCTCTGCCATTTGAAATAAATCTTTGTGTTCCATAATTAAAATTACTGTTTTGTTCTCTTTTTAGGTTTATGTGCGATTAAGACCATTTTTCAGAGAATTCTTAGAATGTATGTCCCAAATTTATGAGGTAATGGAAGATGCTTAAATTTTTTTTGTAAAAGTTATTTACTTTTACTATTTACTTTTCTTGATGGTATGGATGGCAATTGCATCTCCCTTTCTTTCTTTTAGATCATTCTTTTTACTGCTTCTAAAAAGGTCTATGCAGACAAATTGCTGAATATATTAGACCCTAAAAAGCAGCTGGTCAGGTAAGCTTGAATAGAAAGCTGTCATCTGTTATTTACATTTTAACCAGAATAACAAAATAAGTATATTTAGCACTATTTTAGCATCACAGCAATATCTAATATGTAGTGGGGATAAATAGCTATTAACAGGCCTGCTCTTAACATTTCCTCAAGTCCTTAAAAATATTCAACCTGAAGTTATTACTTTTCACCAGTATCTGACTAAACCCTGCAGTGTAACTTTATCCTGTAATACTCTTCTTCTTGATTTCTACTTTTCCTCCACATTGTAGAAATTGCTTCAAGGGGGCTGGCCAAATATCCTTGTTCCCAGCAGATACAATATTTTAAGTTATGCAGGCCTGGGAAAAGGCTTGGCTGCTTTAAAGCGTTTGCCACTGGACTAAGATCCCTGCTCCTGCTTGTCCAAAGACTACCCAGCAGCCCTCATTAGGATAGTTAGGAGTAGGTCCATTCTATAAGTGGACTGCAGTTAATTCTGACTGATGTGCCCTTTGCTTTATGTCCCCCATAAACTTTCAAGTTAGTTCAGTGTAATATTGAATGTATTCGGAAGAGGAAAAACAGCAAATGCGGGACAGGACTAGTTTGCTTGAGCCCCCTAAGCTAGGGCCCTATTGCATTTAATTGAGAAAGAATTGATCTTGGCCCTTTTAATCTCCTTTTTTATAACAAAGCTCTGTTATCCAGAAGATTGTTCTTAAAGCACAGAATAGATGAAGGGGTTTTGACTACAGTATTTCCTTTATCTATGCTTGTCTGCATGCAGCCTAAATGTGTTCTTAATTATAGGCATCGACTTTTCCGTGAACATTGTGTTTGTGTGCAAGGGAACTACATAAAAGATTTAAATATTCTTGGTAGAGATCTCTCAAAAACGATCATCATCGACAATTCACCACAAGCCTTTGCCTACCAGGTGAGTATTTCCTGGAGGTCATTTTTCAGACTTCACTAGAATACTAAATAAAGTCTCCTTCAAATCATTCTCTGCGCCTGTTGACTTTGGAGGCATTTTTAAATTGTTTCCTTGGCAGCAGTGTGTGTGGAAAGCATCTAGCGATGCCTTCTTCCATGGTAATTTTGGCGCTCTTCAGATTTGGCCGGCCTTCACTTCAGGGCCAGTCCACCCTGGGCTGACATATGCCCAGAAAGCAATAGAGAGACGGCTCAGGAGAAAGGCGCAGCCTCCCTCATAGATGGCAGCCATACTCCTGCCGTACCATGAACTTCAGTGCAATGAAAGCATCATCCGTGTCCCAGGAAGAGAGGTTCTGGCAGAGCAAACGGCACACAAGCATTTCACGGTGCCATGTCTGTCTTGAACACCTGAGCCCACCGGCCTGAGCCGCCTTCTACCGTGGGGAAGAAGGATGAGAAACCCCAAACTGAAGATGGCAATCTAAGGGGAGACGAAAAGAACCAGACTCTTCGTGACACAGATTTTGGAAGTGAATAATGCTCCTATTAAATAAATCCCTGCAGATTTCAGAAAAAGGGCTTTCCTGCTCACGAGGCCAGAAGAGGATTGCTGCCTCTGTCCAGTTGGCCTATAGAGGGATAGGCCAGAATATCTCGAGCCAGTCTGTGCAGTTGATTGAGAAGTACAGAAAGGGTCACTGCAGCTCAGCTAAAGTTTTCCAGACTTTCCAAAACAGAAGAGTCAATGCTGGCTCAGTGTGCTCAGTAAAAGCAGGCCATGGTGCACTGATTTTTGTGTTATTTGCTTCACCAGAATCTTCATCAATTACTATAAGTTTGAAGAGGTTCTGAGCACATGGGCAGAGTTTTTAAAAAGTTGAATTAATGAAGGAACTACTGAAAAGGAGATTTTATCTCATTCTAGAAACTGTAGCACCTTATTTTACCTTTTTTTAAATTTAGCTTTCAAATGGGATTCCTATAGAAAGCTGGTTCATGGATAAAAATGACAATGAACTCCTAAAGTTGATTCCTTTTCTGGAAAAACTTGTAGAACTGGTAAGTATTCTTTAAATATATATTTTTTTCTTCTTAAACCTTCATAGATTAAGTAGCACAATTCAGGATGCTGGTTTTTGACTTAGGAAACACCTGTAGATGTCTTTGCATTGCGTTACAGCTTCCTTTAGGGAGTGTTCGCTCCCTTCCTTTTATAGCAGCACAACTTCCCTGATCTGTCCAAAAATATTTTTGAATAAAACTCTTCTAGCCTCTTAAAGGTGATTCCTCCTCTGTCAAAGGTCAAGCAAGACGATGTGTTTGTAGTTTTTTTTAAGCAAGAGGATGTGTTTGTAGAGGCCGTCCCCAGCCAGTTCATTTAGTGACTGTTTGAAGTTACAGCAGCACTGAAGAGGTGACTTACGGTTTTTCACACTTACAACCATTGCAGCATCCCCAGGGTCACGTGACCAGAATTCAGACACTTGGCAACTGACTCGTATTTATGACGGTTGCAGTGACCTTCTGACAAGCAAAGTCAATGGGGAAGCCAGATTCTCTTAACGACTGTGTTACTAACCTAACCGCAGTGATTCATTTAACAGCTGTGGCAAGAAAGGCTGTAAAACTTTGGGCCCAATTGTTGTTAATTGAGGACTACCTATAATGGCTCATTTCCTGTCCATACTCAATGTGTGAGTGAATTCTATTTTTTTAGAATGCACATTTTAATCAGAATATAAGTATGTCGACTAGAGCTGAAGGTTACATAATGCAACCTCACAGAAGTGTCTCCACAGAAGAACCTTTGGTGAATGGAAGAGGCCTGCAAGTGCTTGTTAGCCATCATGTGGAGTGAGATTACAGAGACCAATAAAGCGACATTTCTGACAGCCTGAGTTTGAATTTGGGAACAATTAAAGCTGGTGCACATTCCTCATTGCCAGGAGGACTAACTTCACTAAATAGTTCAGTAAGAACTTGCAAACATTTCAGTAGCCATAAGCTAGCACAGATTTTTCAGCCCTTCCCCCCCACCGTGTCTTGTTTTCTTTGAATGTGGTGATTGATTGAAAACAAAGAGCGCAGGGTTTTAAAAGCTGTGGAGAGTAGTTCAGAAGCGGAAGTTGGGTTTCCAGCCTTCCACAGGCTCTGGCCCTCTCTTGGCTCCCTTTCTTCTTTCTCTGCAACAAAAAGTAGTAGTTTCTGACCACGCTCCGAAATCCCAGGGTTATTATCGCAAATTAACTTTACTGTAATACATGAAAGATGGTAAAGTTTTGTTTTGCTCTCCCCACCTCTAGAATGAAGATGTTCGGCCTCACATACGAGACAGATTTCGCTTGCATGACTTACTACCCCCCGATTAAACTCAATTTCTGGTCAAAGCTGAAGGGAAAGAAAATGCAGGATCCTTTTTGTTTTTGGACTAGAACAAAAACATTGCCATTACTGTTGAAATTTTTGCATTTTTGTACCCTTTCTCGCTTTTCTTATCTTTGGTGCCCAACAGTAATAAAGGGTTACAGAAGAACTTCCTATATCGCCAAATGGAAAGATGTGCAGTACAGTAGGTAGGCTAGAACAGGAGAAGAGTCTTTAGATCTAGTGCAACTCCACTGGTTTTTAATGTACAGAACACCTGCCGTTTTTAAAGAATTCTGTTTCTGCCACCAGCAGTTTATCCTATAAAAATACAGGATTTATGAAATCACAGAGATTGAAAATGGACTCTTGTTTTCTCTCTGTTTGGTGCTCTCTAAGTGGGTTTGTAGCCACTTTGTGTTTTAAAATTCTCATTTCAACAGGAATGGCCAGTAATTTTTTTCCTGTTAAGGTTTATAACCTTTTTACACTTTTGATCTGTATTCAATTTTAGAATTTCATTATGCATTCCTTTTAGTTGAGGTGACTTCATATTTTTCTGGGAATAGCCAAGTTTTATTCATTTTTATTTTTATTATTCGGTTGAATGGCCATTTTCCTGCTTTGTCTGCCTGCATATTGTATATTTGTTTTTAAAAATCATCTAGTTTTATTCTATGTGTGTATGTATATATATATGTATGTATGTATGTATATATACATATATTGAATATATATATATATATATATATATATATATATATTCATTCATTCATTCATTCATTCATTCATTCATTCTACTGTAGTGGAAATCTTTTTTTAAAAAAAATCAAGAGACTGGCTAGATAAGAGATATAAGAATTACTAATATGCAGAATATTTAAACCATCGTGATGGCATGTACTGTGGACAGGTAATTTCTTGTGCGCACAGATCATAGAGAGAGAGAGATCAGTGCCTCAGTCTCCTGTCCGTAGGAGTCCCTGAGAATTTGCTTGGTGTGATGCAGCTCAGTTCCTGCTGCACCAGGATCTCCACAAATGAAAACACAGAGAGCATTCAAGCCCTGCAGGGTTTGGCCCTCTGCCCTGCAGGAGGCTCCAGCCAGTTTGAAGCATGTGTGTGGCTTAGTCCTGCCATAGTCACCCTGTCTGTCCCTGTGGTCCTGGACACTCCTGCTGCCAGTGCAGCTGATATGCTATCATAGTGGTTTTCTATATTATATGGAAATGGTTTTCAAGCCTTGGCTCTCTAATGCAGGTTATACAAGAGGCTGATATTTTTTTAATGGAGCATACTCTCCTTTTTGGGAGGCTTTTTATGGAAGGGAAAAATTTGTAAAAGTAAGCTTTGCCTCTAAACTGCATAGACACGCCACAGGCTCGGGCTGTTTTTATGTAAAGGATGTTGCAGAATGGCACTTTTTCTAAAGAGAAGTTTGATATTTTGTATGCTTGTTAAAGAAAGAACAGTATTGGAAATTAAAGGTGGACAACTGATAATTGAGAAGTATGTCAATTAATTTTTTATGTATATTACCTGTTTACTTGTACAATTTTATTGTACAAATTACACGCAGCTTCATTTTTGAATGAGTCCTTAAAATAAGGAAAATCTTTTTAGGAAAACATTTAATTTTTGTAATTTTTGATTTTAAAAGGCATGAGTTATATCAACTTTTTCCAATGTATTAATGAAGATTTTAACTTTTCATCAAGTTGAGTGTTTTCTTACTATATTATCTGTTATATATGTAGCTAGCACATGTGTCACTGAACTGTTAAAAAGTTAGCATGTAGAGCAAGCCTGCTTTGTGGGAAATCATTATTCATTTAGCACAGAATTATGGTGAATTTTCTGTGAAAAGAAAAAAAAAGGCATTTGCTATCCTGAATGCTGACTTTTTTTTTATTTAAAGAAAGATATTTTGCTTGCAGGAAAATGCTACAGATTCATTTTAATGAGAATCTTTGAATTGTATTTATCTCTAGGGCATCTGGGCATCTTTACGCTGTTTTGTCTTAAATGTCTTTATTGAAATAAAATGTACATAATGTTACTATAATATATATACACACACACACATTATATATAATGTAAGTAAGCGTGTATGTGTTTTCCCAGAGGTGATCCCTGTAACCATTTTTTTCCTGTTTTGCTAGTAACAGCTATATTGATACATTTGATTTTGAAAATGTTAAAATGCTCTCAAATCTATGAAAGTGGATTATCATCATTATGAGCAGTGTAGGAGTGCCCTTGACTCAGATTATTTTTGATTTAAGAGAAGGTAACTCTATAATAATTAGTCCAAGCTGCTCCTCTGTGGCTTCTAATGATGATAGCTCACAACTCTTTGCCAGTCGTCTCCGCAAGGTAGCTTGTCGATTGTGAGCCGATGGCTTGGCCAAAGGGCTTCGGGCTCGTGCAGAAGGCCACCCACCCCTTTGATCTTCCCCAGCTTCAAAACAGAACTGTGAAGAACCCTTTTTTTGAGGAACAGCGGATGCTGAAAGTCTGGAACTTTGGAGGGGGGATAAGAGAGTGAGCGTGTGATTTTCTTATGATAGTTTGCTATGCTGCATTCAGAGATTATTTTCTGCAAATCCATTAACAAGTAAATTGAACAGCAGTCCTCACCTTGAATAATGCAATGGACATTTCTCTGTTATTTCAAGGGAATTGTACAGCACCTTTTTAGAGAAACTTTTTAAAGCAAACATGCATTTTCATGAACAAAACCAATAAACCCACTGCTTTTTGTTAAGGTGGAATACTGCAAATAACACTGATCACTGAAGAGGAAAAAAAAGGAACGTGAGGTTTGACAGTCTCTAAATGATTGGTAATATGGGTAACTTAATCCTATGTAGGACAACCAAATCAACCGCTGCAGGCTGCTCTGTAAATACTTATTAAACTATCATTTTGTAATTTGGTGCAAGTCTGGTTTTTAATTTTCAGTGGAAATGTAATTTTTTTTAATAAATGGCTCCGTCTTAGAATATTGGACACACAAGAAATTGTGCGTAAGCTCTCGGTTATACAAACAAGCATTTTATACCGATTTTACAAAAGTATAATTATTATACTTTGATATAATTTGGGGCGTAGATACACTAAAGGAGACCATTAGCGGCCTTCTCGGGAGCCCGGTTTACGGCAAGCAAAACATTCGAAACGAATCGGGACGGCTTTAAAGGGGAGGCCGGCGCTGGCTGCTTAGTCAGCCGCCCGCCTGGAAGCGACGCGGCAGGGAAGGCCGCTCCCGAGAGCCCCGCCTCGGCTTCCCGACCGGCCGGGCGCGCCACGGGGGCGGGTTCCCACAGCTCCCGCCTCTTCCGGGGACGTCGACGGAAGCCGGAAGCGCGTTGGGGGGCGGGGGCGGAAGTCCCGTCGTGCCGCGCGCGGTCTCTCCTGCCTGCTGGCCTGGGCGAGCCGCAAGCGAGAGGGCGGCGGGCAAGATGGCGGCCGAGGCGGACTCCTGGGGTAGGTCCGGCGGCCCCTCGCCGCCCCCTCCCGCTCCCTGCCTCCCTCCCGCCGGCCAGGCCGGCCCGGCCGCTCCGCTGACCCTTTCTCTGTCCCCGCAGACGCGGACACCTTCGAGGCGCCGGACCCGCCGGCCGGGCGCCTCCGGCCCACTCCCGCCGTGGCGGCCATAGACCGCTGGGCCGGCGAGGACGAGGACGACGACGTCAAGGTGGCCGGGAGGGGGGGGCGGCGGCGGGGGGCGCGTTGCCCGGTCCATTGGGGGAGGCGGGCGGGCGGCGGGTGGAGGCCTCCCGGCGGGTGACCGGCGCTTCTGCTCTGCCCCGGGCAGGACAACTGGGACGACGAGGAGGAGGAGCAGCAGCAGCAGGAGGAGGAGGAGGAGGCGGCGGAGAAGGAGGCCGAGGCCAAGCCAGGTGAGCGGCCGGGCGGCGGGTCCGCGGGAGTCCCGCGTCGCGAGCGAGAAGCCGCCGCTAACCTTTTGCCTGTCCGCAGACGCCAAAGTTTCCGAAAAGAAGAAAATAGCAGAAAAAATAAAGGAGCGGAAAAAGCAGGAGGAGGTTACGAAAAGGGTGAGCCGCCCCCAACTCCCCCCCCTCCCTCCCTCCCTCCCCGAGGCCAGCGGGGACGGCCTGCAGCCTCGCCGCGGGGCCTTCGGGCTGCGGCCGGCGCCTGGGCGGGCACAGGTGGCATTTCTGCTCTCTGTCCCTTTTTAAGTTGGAGGCATCGGAAGAATCCAAAGAACTGACGCCGGAAGAGCAATTAGCAGACAAGCTCCGAATGCAGAAATTGCAAGAAGAGGCAGATCTGGAGTTAGCAAAAGAAACCTTTGGTGAGTGTGAAGGCTGCGCCGGCCGTGGCTCCGCTTTCCTTGATTTGGGACATGGATTTCTGTTAAAAGTGCCAACGACTTGTCCACCTCTCTGTAACTTGCTTTGAGGTCCTTGCTCATTTTTCAGAATGTCCAGGGGTCTTCTGTCCTCCGTGTTTGGGAATGTTTTTTTTTTCTTTCAGGGACACAGGTGTTGTCAGCAGATTTATTTTATGTGCTTGAGCAGCCCTTTCTATACATTGCTCCTTTCTTACAGGTGTAAATAACATATGTGGAATAGATACTATGAATCCATCATCAAAAGATGATTTTACGGAATTTGGGAAATTGTTAAAAGAAAAAATAACACAGTATGAGAAATCATTGTATTATGCTGGATTTTTGGAAACATTACTTCGAGATATATGCATTTCGTGTAAGTACATTTAGTGAAATACTATTGTTTGCACCCTACTTAGCTTGGAAATAATGAACATATTAGAAGTTTTCCAGTGAAATAGACTAGGCTAATGGGATTGAATTTGTTATTAATTCAATCCAGAAACTTTTTTGTAATGTCTGTGTTCTGTTTTAATGCTGCTGCCAGCTTTTTTTTTTCTTTTCTGCTTATTTGATCATTTATCTTACAAGAAAGGCACCTGGGTGATTCCCAACATGTTCTGCATTTCTGAGAAATCTCTAAAAATATATTACCTCCTTAATTCAGGATCATTTGAGAAGAAAAATTTTCATTCATTTTCCTAAATAGTTCATTACACTTAATATTTCTGTCCATTTGGCTTGCTTACAATTTCAAAGCTTTAAGCAGCTACTATATTGTTTTATGAAGATGTAGCCAAACCATTTCATAAAGTTAAAATAATTTCTAATAACTGTTAAAATTTTCTGTAATATAATTCACTGAAGAGAAGAAAGCCTTATCCAATTTAATATACACCTTTAAGGAAGTTTTTTTTTTAAATGTATTATAAAAGCTACCTAAAAGCCAGAATGGCCTTACTTGTTTTTTGTTGGGAAACAGAGAGTGTTGGTAGCCCTCCATTTTTTAACGTATTAGCCAATGCTGACTTTTATTACAACAGAACTGAAGCAGTTAACTATTGGTACCATATATGGACATTCACACAAATTATTCCTCATTTCTCCTTGATGCTTTATTGACTATAGTAACTTCAGGTTAATAGCAGATGTTAAATGTGTTGGAGACAGCTTTACTTCTCAAATATTTCCATCAAGTCTTTTGGATATTTTTAAATGTTAGGGAAAGCAGCGGGGAAAGACGGTGCACACCAGTGCTTGCCTTCTCTCGACTCAGTTAAATGAATACTCATGTCAGCACTTAATACTTTGCAACTGTATGCAAGGCAAATCAAGGTGATCTCTTAGCAGATACTTTTGAGAAGAAACCTGCCCAGGAGGGCATTTTGTCGTCCTGTTCTGGTTTTGGGAAAGGAGCAGGGAAGAAGAGCTGCACACAAAGGCCTCGTCAGGGGTTTCCTGGGGGCTGGCCGGCCTCAGGAGCCTGTGGAGTTAGAGTCCAGGTCATCTGGGGAAGATTGCCTGTGGGGGGCCTGGGGAGGGTTAGGGGCTTTTGAGCAAAGGCTCATTTTGGACACTTAGAGGCTGCTATGACATTTTGAACAAGTCGGTGGACAGAGGCAATCTTTGGCATGCCAAATAAAACATTCAGAAAAAATGAACATTTTAAAATTATTGCTCAACTGGGGATTTTCATTTTTTTTCTACGAAGAATCTTAGTTTTCAATGAAGGCAGGCAGGCTGCTCATACTGCTTGGACTCGCTCGGTTCTGGGCTTGGGGTCATAACCTGGATATGACCACCTCCCACCTGTGTGGTGTCTTTTGCCTACCCATAAACTCCCAGCTTTTCTGCGTTTTCCCTAAAATATTTTTCCAGGAACCCCAGAGATTTTCTTGTGATGTAAAATTCCTTTGCCCCCCTTTTTGGGGGGGCAGAAAAAGCAAGCTATAAATAATCCCTCCTTGTTCCTTCTTCAGTGGAAGTCGATGACTTGAAAAAGATCTCCAATTCCTTGACGGTGCTGTGCAGCGAGAAGCAAAAGCAGGAGAAGGTGGGTCGGGGGCGGGGGGGGAGAGGCTCTTCCAAGCTTTGGCAACCATTGTGATATTCTGCTGAGCTTGACCTTCGGGGGGGGGGGGGGGGAGATCAGTGGCTTGTGCAGGAAGGCACCTGGCAGCTTTTGTCTTATTCTGGCAAGCTGGTTAATGGTTTTACAGGGCAGTTTGTAAACTTTGATCACGATCCTGATGAAAGTAAATACTCCATCGGGTACAGAATCCCGCATGTCAGAATAAATGTTTTCTCTTGATTTGATACCTTCCACACGGTCTGGATTTCAGTTTTCATCAACCCTGGGTTTCCTGGGAGGAAAAGTAGCACAGTAGTAACTTCATGTAGTTTGTAAGGGAATCAAGGCTTACTTTCCCTTTTCTAGCCCAGGATTGGCGAGGTCCAGTTGTGTTCTTAAATCTGAGCTGTTCCTTTTTCTTTCTAGCAAAATAAAGCCAAAAAGAAGAAAAAAGGCGTGGTGCCTGGTGGAGGCCTAAAAGCAACGATGAAAGATGACTTGGAAGATTATGGTGGTTATGATGGCGGCTACGTACAAGACTTTGAAGACTTCATGTGACCCGTTCTTACCATCTGTTGGCTTGCCCTAACTGTAGCACAACTCCTTTCAATTCTGCCAAATGCAACAATCAAAGTGCAGTATCTTTGTGCTGTTGGTTATCCTGTCACAACTTGACACATTGGAATACCTGTCTCGATGCCGAGGGAATAAAATTATGAAGCTCAATTTTTTTATTCGATGATAGGAAATAACGGAATATCAAAAATGTGTGTCTTCATGGCAGTGAAGCAGCACTAAATTGGACATTAATTTTGACATGGCCGAAGTTGTATTATTACCAGCAGAGTTAGTAATAACAATCTTAACTCTTATCTTTTTTTACAAGAAACTACCCAGAAAACAAAGGCGGTTTGCAGCAAATGCATGGGTTTGCAGTAGTATTAAAATGGCTTTTCTATTAGAATTTGGTTTTTCAGTGGCTTGAGGGGCGTAGCTATAAATTTCCCTGGCTTCCAAGCTTGAAAGGGACAAGGGGGCTGTTTCTCTTGCCCTGGGAGGGGGAAGGGCCTTCTCTGGCCGTTCAGCCGATACTTTGCTGATTCTTTGGGACACTTTCTTGTCACCCGGTTTGGTGGCTCTCACAAGACTGCTGTGTTTTTTTTTTCTCCTCACGTATAGGAATCCTGCTTAGCAAACTGCAACAGTTATAATGGTTGGGCAAATTGTTATGTTCAGAATTATGACATCTGCAAATGTTTTATAAAAGCAACTAATTTAATAAAATCACTATTGTGAGGACTGAGATCTTTGGTCAGCTTGTGCTTTTCCCACGGGCAATAACAGTGGCTGACAAGGGACCAAAGGGCCGAGGGAAAGCGGCTCTTCTCTCAACCCACTCAAGTGACCGTGTGGATTGCCCGGTTCTGGCCACACCTTCCCCTCTTCAGTCTGAGGCTGCCCTCCATTAATCGCCAGACTGGAAAGATTCCCCCCCCCAAAGAAAATACAGGTAATGTCTCAAGACATGAGCCAATCCAATAATGGCTCCTCTTTCTAAGCACGTGAGTGGCTAAATTGTACTATTTTTAAGGACAGGATGGTAATTAGTAGCCACGGCACGGCACCCAGACTCAACCCTCGATGGCTCTGAAGGAAGGAGCAAAAGCAACGGGGAGCCCTCCTTTATTGCTGTGGCTTCCCAGGGGAGGAAAGGTGTCTAACCAGCCTTGGCTACCAGCCCACACTCGGCCTCCTTTCCCAATGTCTAAAGTGTCCAGCTTTCCCCACACTCCAAATTAACGGAACACCAACGTTTTCTGGTTCTTTGAGCCAGTCATACGCCCGATCCGTCCAGGCATACTGCTATCGGCACAGTTGGCCACTTTTGCAAGTTCCTGGGAAGTGACACGTACACAGAACCACAATGCCTACTTGGGCTTCAACTCTGATTCTGCAGTCACTGAAATCCAAAATAGCAAATTTGCAAAGCTATTCTAATAGGTCCAAAAACAGATCTGAAAAAGCTATTTCTGGCATGGAAGAAAAAATAGTTCCGAGATAATTCCCAGGTCAAATTCAGATATGTTTGGCTCTCTGTTTGGCCATGAGATAATTCAAAACTATCTCTAAGCTTTAGCCACGGAAGTTGGTCTTCAATGTGAAGTTCAAATCCAATGGCAGTTGTGTTCCAGTCTGACTTCAGAAATCAATATATTTGACACTACGTCCAAGATTAATAATCCTCAATATTTTGTGCAGTTCACATCATCTGAAAAACAGCATCTCCAGTAATCTTTCCTCTGGATTATTGAAAATGTAATTCCCTAAGTTTATTTTTCTGGCTTGTCTGAAGTTTGTGAGGGCACCGGTTACAGTTCTGCTTTGTCCAGCCAGGATGAGCTAATTGGCCAGCAAATCGTTGAGACAGCAGCCTGTCTGGGCGTCATTCAGGAGCATGTTCACCACATCGTAGAACTGGTTGTCATAGGCGAGCTTGTAATAGACGTAAATGTCCTCACAGTAAGTCAGGAGCTTCTTCAGGTTTCTTACAGCAGACTCACTCGCTGCCTGCTGCTTGAACCTGAAAGAGAAGGTCTCCCGGTTAACAGAGCCCCCCTCCTCCCAGCTAAAAGGCTTCTTCTGCCCCGTCGCTCCCTCTTAGCTCTTGAAGCCGCAAACGGCCTCCCCAGCTGCATGAAAGCGGCCAAAGTGGCTGGCCCAGGAGACTCACTTCTGGGCGACCTCTTCAAAGGTGCCGGCCTTGAGCAGCCCCTGCTGCTTGTACTCCTCCAGGTAGCTGAAGTCGCCCTTCAGGATCACCTGCTGATGGAGCACCTCAGACCAGTCCGGGGTAAAGTCATACGCCTCGGCCACCACGGCTGCCTGGAGGAAGAGGGGAGGAACTCAGAGGGAGCCCTGGGAGCCGCCGCCTTCCAGCCCCCCAGCCACGACCCCACTGCCCCAAGAGGTGAGAAGGGGAGCATGGGGCAGGCGGTCTTCCTACACCAGGCCCACTGTCATCTTCGCCACCCAGTTCACCCAGGTGAGCATTTAACATCTCACGCATTTGATTAAAAAATGCACCGGAGAGAGCCAGGATGGGGGCTCGTTCATTTAACATGAAAAACTATGTCCTCCTGACTTCCCACCATAACCAGCAGGCTCCATTACAGTCATAACTCGAGGACTACCTGTGTACCAGTCCTTCGAGCACTTTCATTAAAGGAGCCTCCCAGGCAGGCTCGGCCAGCTACTGATCAGGAGAGAGATTCTGGTGTCTGTGTGTCTGCGTGCGTGCGAATCATTGCAGTTATTAAGTGAATAATAACTTAACCCCCCATTGATTTTGTTTGTCGGAAGCTGGCTGGAAAGGTGGTAAGTGGTGACTGTGTGATCTGGAAGACTGCGGCCATTGCAAATAGATGCCGGTTTGGTTGGTTTGTTCATTTGTTTGTTCATTCATTCATTCAGCTTCTCCGAACTGCCCATCTCCCTCAAAGGAGGAGGACAGGAAAGAGGACACCTCCTGGCATTTTTCTTCTAATACCTTTACAGATGAACCAGCCCATCCCTTCCAGAGGGCGAAGGCCCTTCTCACCTGGTAGAACCTGGGCAGGGCCAGGACGCAGGGCAGCAAGCTCCCCCGCCTCAGGTTGATCAGCTGGGTCTTGTGGGGAGTAGTCAGGAAGTGGAGCTGCAGGGTGATGAGTCTGGCCAACTTCCTGCAGCGCAAGGACTGGCACACGCAGAAGTCCTGGACAGGGGAGCAGACAGAGATGCACCAGGCAGAGCAAGGAGGGAGCTACTGGAGCAACTGCCTGCCCCACTGCTTCCCCCACCAAACCCAGAAGGGAGACATCGACAGCTCCGAAAACACTTGGCAAAACACCTGGCAAATCAAAGGTGCCATTACTGGCGATTGGTTTGCTGAAACGTCGTTCTTGAGAACAACCAGGTAAGCACTTTGGGGAGCTCAGGACTCCATCGCTTCCTGCCCTGCAGGGATTCAAGCTAGCCAGTCTCTAAACTTCACCCCAACCTCAGCTGCAGATTCCTCCACAAGATGCCAGCGACTCCAGGGGACCCACCTGCACCAGGCACCCCCTTATTCTCCATCTCACCTTGGAGTAGCTCTCTGCAGCATCCAGGAAGAGGGTGAGGGCTTTCATCAGGAGCTTCTTCAAGCTTGGCACGTCCAGAAGGCTCTCCTCTAGAAGGAAGAGAGCAGCTGGCAGCCTGGGCCATCGTGGCAATCCCACCCAGGACTGTGGGATGAAAAAGCGCAGGCAGAGGGGAGGGACCCAACACTGAATCAGAGGTATTTCACCAAGCCCAAATGACAACAGCCCCCCCACCCCCCGAGCTGCTTTGGACACAGGCGGCCAATCTCTCTCCCTGGAGCAGCTGCAAGGTGGGATGGTCCTGCTACCCCACCTCACTGGGTGAGAACCTGCTGAGGGGCTTAGAAGAACCCCCTGCTTAGCAGAGAGCACAACAACAGAGCTCCTAGCTGGAAAAGGGGCCCAGGCCTGAAGGGGCCTCCTTGGAAACACGAAGCCACCTCATTTTCTCACCAGTTCACCCCCTGGCTCTGCCATGGGAAAATCCAGCTGGCACAGGATTACTGAATGTGACCAGACTCCAAGGCAACACTGGCATCAAAGCAACAACCGCCTTTTTCTGGTACCACTGGGTCCAAGCTACAATATTTTGCATAGGCTTAGAAGTGTGATTGTGTGAGTTACTGCCGGAGGTTCTCTGCCCTTCCCAGCAGCAGCCAAAGGGCAGCTTAATTTGCAAATCTGCTTCTAGATGCCTGTAGAGGACACTGAAGCCCAGCACAGCTGACTCCATGGGAGGCTCTTGGTTGAAGGGGAACCTGTGAAACGCAACTCCTACCATCCTCCTCACTGGACCGTCTGCCTGGGAGATCAGTTCAGCCACACCCGGGGGCCACAGCTGGCCTTAAGAGAGAGCCAGTTTCTGAGGAGTGACTGGCTCTTGGCAACTGAGCAGGGGTCTATGCTGCCCGTTTGGCTGAGACCTGACCCCAGCCTGAAGGAAAGAGAAAGAGGAGCTGGGCCCTCAGTGCGCTTTGCTTCCTCAGGAGAAGCCAGGTGAAGAACAAGTTGTACGAGAAACCCTTGACCAGACCAGCGTGGTGGGTCCCCGAGTGCAGCCTCCATCCATCCGGAGCATCTGCCAGAGGGGCCTCCCTGGGCAGGTCAGTCCTTACCCCATGGCTGGGATTCAATGAGCTTCAGCTGGACGTTGGCCGCAGCCTCGTGGTTCTCCCCAATCTCCCGGCACATGCTGAAGCAGAGGGCAATCATGTTGTGCTTCTCGCTGTCTCCCGGCCGGCAACGCTTGATGTAGTCTAGCAGGGCTGTCTTGAGGGTCCCGTTCTGCCAGAGAGAGAAGGGAGAGCTGCAGTTGGAGGGAAACTGGTATCTCGCCAGTTACACGTCTGCCACACGGTCCCAAGCAGCCAATCCCTCCGGGCTCCAGAGGACTTCTGGAGTCCTCCCATCCGCCTAGGATGCAGAGAGAGACGTCACGTATACAAGCATTAGCACAATCTACCTGATCGTAAAAGGGAAGGAGAGTTCTTAACAAGTCCAAGTTAATTTCTGGTGACGACTACATTGCTTTAAAGTCCTTAAAACGTTATGATCTGCTCTAGAACCCTGCCAGGCGGAAAGGCCAGCCTACTTGATTGCAAGTTCCTCCTTTTTCAAGAGGGCTGGAAGGCCAGGAAGAAGCTCAACATTGCCCCACCTTGACTCTCTTTGACCGAAAGGGAGGGCAGAGCACGAGGCGTCTATGCCAAAGAAGGGACTGGACTGGGGAGAGCAGAGCTTGTTCATAATGCTTACCGGGTCCAACTTCTTTCTCATCAGCACCTCAAAGTAATGTTTTTCATGGAGCAGGTCAAAGATGTAGGTCATCTCATTGTATCTGCCGATGCCAGTGAGAAGTCGAACCTTCGGGGGGAGAAGAAATTTCAGGTGGGGGAGAGGCTGAAATGCCCATCCACAGCACCGCCCAGCTACACAGTTGGGGGAAGACAAACATTCACAAGAACTCTACTCCTTCCGTGAAGCTTGAGGGCATCTGGGCAGCGTCTGCCACTTCCTGATATCCAGTCACTTTCAGAAAGGGGGTCCCAGAGTCCCAGTCAGTACAGGCGGTCCTCAGCTTACAAGTTCGTTTAGCGACCATTCAGTGACAAAAACACTGAAAAAAGTGACCTATGACCATTTTTCACATGACTGTTGCAGCAAGGTGAGCGGGTCTCGGCAGGCCCGGAGCCTGTGGAGACCCAGCTGGGGGGGGGGGGCAGATAGGCAGGGGGAGTGTTGCGGTGCCTCTGCGGTCGGTCGTAAGCATGAGCGACTGCCTTGGTGCTGCAGCATTCGTAACCTCGGGACTGTGCCATAAGTACACACACCCCGGTGATGTAACTTCGAACGGTCGCTAAGTGAACTGTCGTAACTCGAGGATTACCTGTATAAGTCAAGGACTACCTGCTGCCAACCCATGTTCTCGGGGGAGTTACCTACCACGAGGCCGTACTCTTCGTTTGGCGCCAAGTGTTCATCTGTGAGCAGCCGGGCAGCTTGGAGGACACGAGTAATCCCCTCCATGTGGCAAGTCAAGCTGAAACAGTTGTGGGCCAGTATCAGGAGCTCCACAGCTAAGGAAGAAGAGGGACAAACAACTGTGCTACACACACACAAGCCCTGGCATCCTCCTACAAGGCTGCTGAAGTACAACCCCCGGCAATTTCAGCCAAGGTGGACGATGATAAGGGATGCCAGGAGTTGCATTTCAGCCAAGGGAGGACCGGAGTTCCTACCTGATCTAAGAGGAAGCAAATGCTGCTCGGAGGAGAGAACAGACAGCAGGATCACTGAGTCATCGTTTGCCCAACGAAAACAAAAAGGTCCGGATATTTTGAGGACAAAACCAGTTTTTCCTAGCTCTGCCACTTTGTTTCTCTGGGAAACATTAGCACATCACTAAAGACCACCCCCTCCCCCCACACGCTCCCAAGACGTGGATGCACAGAGAAGAGGGGCCTGCGTGCAGAAGGCCCCAGCTGCCTGGCTTCGATCCTCATGAAAGTGCTGGCAGAGTTTCAATACATGACACCACCTTGTGTCCACGTGGACTGTGCAGGAAGAGCGAACGAGAGACACGACGTGCCAAGGAGATCCATTCTCCCCTGGCCAATAGACCTTCCTGAGATCTTCGCCAAAGGATTCATATTTTGAGTTTCAGTCTTAGTGGAGACTCAGAAGTCCTCATAAACCTAACCTTAAATTCCAACCTCACAAGGACCCCTTTTCTGTCCACCGTGAACTTACTACAGGCAAGCTCCCCATGGGGCACGGAGGAAACCTTATCCAGCAGTTTCATGCCGACAAGTGTGTGGTCCTGGCAAAGCTTGGCCAGTTGCAGGAACCTCTGGCTCTCCTCGGCAGGGTTGAGGGCTGGGTTTTGCTCTGTACATAAAACAAGTATTCTTTTAATTGCACAGCCAACTCTTCACAGGCGAGGTGGACAGGTCGCATCTCTCCTCTGGTTCAGTCCTAGGAATTGTATTCCTTCGGCAGCATGACACAGTTCAATCAAATAATGCTCAGGAGTCACAGTCTGAGAGAACTTAGGTTGAAAAGGCAAATGCAGAGCAAACACGGTACAGCAGCAATCATAGAACATAGAAACAACACAGAATAACAGAGTTGGAAGGGACCTTGGAGGTCTTCAATCTAGTCCGTCCCCCAGCTCAAGCAGGGACCCCTATCAAGACCAGTCAAATTATCAAAATCAATCCAAGGAGAAGGCGTGGGCCAAACTCCCGGGAGCAACAGCTACCCAGAGCCAAACCCACTTGCCCAGTTTTGTGTTCCCAAGCGGAGGGAAGGAGCGGACTTACTGCCTCTTCCCTGGGAAGGCACCAGCAGCTCGCGTGTGATTTCCTCGGCCACAAGCTCAGCCACAGCCCCCGGCTCCAGCCCCTGGTTGGTGATGAAGGCCTGGGCCTTCTTGTACCAGTCTGGCTGCTGTGAGGACAGGATGGCCCGAAGCAGCTTCTCCGAATCATGGACGGCGATCTCGCTGAAGGAACAGCCAAGCTCCTGCAGGGCATGGGGGGGGGGGGCTAGTCAGATCCCTTGGCTTCCCGCTTGATGCACGATGGCTGCTTGCCCTCCTCTCCCCCCCCTCCCCGAGATTCCAGGCCCCAGCGACCTACTTTGGAGAGTTCGTAAAGGTAGAGAGTCTGACGACAATAATTCCGGCCATGCACACATTCTGCAACTAAAGTCTGCAGGCTGCCAACAACTCCGCTGTCCGGAGAGGAGCCCTCCACCGAGGGCCAGGAATCGAGGCTTGAGGCTGAGAACAAAACCAGGAGTTGGGGAGGGGGAGGCACGGGGGTGCCCGAGGCTGCAAAGGTGGCATGGTGAGCCTGGGGGAGGCTGCGCGAGGGAGGCACTGTGAGAACCGGGCGGGGTGTGCAGGAAGGCAGCTTCAGCAGACGTGCAGAGGGGCCCAGGGGTGGCCGGCATGGCGCGAGCGCAGAGGGGCTGGGGAAGGATGCACAAGTCGTCAGGGAGACTCACCCCGACAACCTGCAACCTCCTTTGCCGGCTTCCCCACTGACTTTCGGAGGAGGCTGACAGGGAGGCCGCAACTGGTGTCACCTGACGCAGGGAGCCACAACCGTCTAAGTGCCAGCCGGTCACCAAGTGCCCGGATGGCGATCAGGTGACTGTGGGGATGCTGGAACTCTGGGGACCGGTTCTAACCCCCCTTCATTCGATGCTGCTGTCACTTGGAATGACCGTAAGTCAAGGACTACCTTTACTGATTTTAAAATCTCAGAAGGGCAAAAGTGAAACAGGCAGGAGGGCCAGGGTAAAAGCCCTCTGCCACCGTTCACCCTCTGCTCAGCTGCAGAAGCAGGTGGGCAAACCAACGTGCTGTAAGGATCCGCAGGTGGTGCAGGGCTCAGAATGCAGAACTGCCGGCTGACTCTGCCCACAGCCAGGAATTGGAGGATCCTGATGGGGCTCAAGGCTGACTCAGCCTTCTGTCCTTCAGAGGACGTAGAATGAGGAGCCGGTGCTGTAAAGCACTGTGGGGCAGTATGTAACTCTAAGTGCTGTTGCTATGAGGAAAGAGCGCAACGGCCGGTGAGAGAGGAACTGGTCTCACTCGGATGTTTGACTGCGGGTGCAACTTACAACTCTTCAACCGTTTCTTTTCGGCTGCCGCTTCTCCTCTATGCCTCTTGCTGCTCTCAGCTGCCAGGAGAGCCTGGATCTCCGGATGGAAGCAGCGCTGAGCGGCCTCTCCCAAGGCCAGCCTTCTGCAGTGCAAGATCAGCGCTACGTCTCTGTTGTAGAAGCTGAAATAGCGGCAAAGCCGGGCAGCTTCATGCACGCTTCCTTCATCCAGAAGACGCCCAATCAGAAAACTCAGGGACCCCACTTCAGCTTTGGAAAGCATAACTGTGGATGTGTCCTGGGAAGGGAAACCTCTGAGCTCCAGATACTTAGGAGTGCTTAAAGCAGCAACCTTAGAAAAGGAGAATTCCTTAGCTAAGGAGTCAAAGGACAGCTCACTACTTATGGAAACCTGGTGAGAACCTCTGGGCTCCATCTGCCCTGTGCCTTGGCTGAAAGTCTGTCGCGTGATGTGGCACCGCCAAATTTCCTTCTCTATCTTTTCCAGATCATCAACAGGAATCGGGTCACTTCTGGCCAGCCAGTGTCCAGCTAAAGTAAGCAGGAGTTGCCTCTCGGAGATGCCGGACCCCCTCTGATCCTCCGGGCCCTCCGAGACCAAGTCTACCTGAGCCGCGAAGAAGCTGGAGGCAGCCCGATTAGAGACGGCATTTTGCACGTAGTTCTCGTGGCACTTTTTCCAGAACCCGACCCTTGTCCGTTTTTGAGTCCAGTGGCCGATCTGTTTCAAGAGAAGGATGTTCTGGAGCACCTGAAAAGGACACAAACAACCATCAGAAGCCAAGGAATCCACTGCGCCGAAATACCCGTCTGACACAGAACCTCGTGATTCCATGGGTGGCTTGCCCCCCCCCCCCACGGATCTCCCACCCTTGCTATCCAGTCCCTCTTCCTGAACTCTGGAGTCAGGCCTCGGACTGACAGGGGTCCCAGACAGTCCAGGGAAAGCAGATGCAGATCCAGACACACAGCTGCACCAGACATGAGGGAGGGGAAAGCAGCCTCCCACAGCTGACAGGGATGACATTAATTTTGCAGTAGGTGAAACGCAATCAACGGGAATAAAAATTAAAAAGGCTCGACTCCGGTGTACCTCCTGAATAACCACGTTGTCTACAGGCAGTGCTGCCAGTTCTGCTACGTTGCGAGCCACAGAAAAAGAGCTGCTCTCCTGCAGCTGCTCCAGAATCCTTTGGCACTCCTCCTGGAACCTCTCAAGGCTGTAATTGCTCAGCAGAGTCCGACTGACGGAGATGGGCGAATCCTTCAAGATGGCACTCAGGGCACTGAGCTTCTTCAGATCTGGCCCTGTGCCCAAAAAGGAGAAGAGCAATAGCAACAGGATAGGGACAGCCTGTGACTGAACAACAAGAGAGACTTTGGGAGTGGAGCCGAGGGGCTTTTCCTGAGTCCCTCCTCCCACAACAGGGCTGCACAGCTGTGGCGCCCCAGTTGGGAGGGAGCCTAACGTCAAAACCAGAGAAGCCCTGCGGCTAAATCCGCCGACAGAGCCCACCGAATCCAGCATCCTGTTCTCCAGAACGGTCACCGGCTGCCACAACAGGAGGTCCGCCAGCAGGCCCTTTGCTGCCACCTGACATCTGGAAGGCTGCCCAGAGCCCCCAGCTGTGCTGGCCCAGGGCAGCCCCCGAGGAGAGAAGGGAGACGTCGTCCTTGCCTTGGAGAAGAGCCGTTCCTGCATCTGCAAGCAGTTCGAGGAGCTTTCTGAATTCGTACTCTGTTCTGCACTGGTGCAGCATCAGCTCGAGTAGGAAGGAGGCCTGCATCTCCAGCCAGGGCCCAGGGAGGACGGGCAGCCCCCTCTCACACTCAGCTTGAAGCTGCAGGAAGAACAGGTCACTGGGCAAGACTGTTTCAAAGCCTTTCCTCTTCGGCTCTGGTTCAAAATAAAACCCCTTGCATGAAAAGCCGCTCAAGCAGCAGCCATTTTGGTACCTGGAAACTCTGTGCACAGAGAAATGCTTCTCCTTCAGCTGGTTAGCTGAGCAATGCCTCTCCCTGGAGGAAGCCCCTTTACTGGACCGGCCTCCTCACCCTCCAAACGTACAACTTCCCCCAACATTTGCTCCTCACTCAGGAGCGGAGTTTACCTTTCTCATTCACACCTGCTCTTCTCGCTACCTGGCCTACTGGCAAGCATAAGCGGGCCAGACTCCTTTCCCTCCGTGTGGGACAAACACGATTCCAAAACAGCCCTTGCCTTGAGTAGCCAAGTTTCTGCTTTGGCTTCAAGAGAGAGGAGGCAGTGGAGCAGATGGGCCTCTCTTGTGAAGGTCAGAATGCTGACAAATCATGCAAGATGACAGCCAGTGGACAAACACGGGATGTCTCCACCCTTGAGGCTACAGACATGAAAAGTGCTGCGTATCTTTGACCTCATCAACAGGAACGGAAAAGGCGCCAGTCCAGGAGCCAAGAAAGGGCCACCCCGGCAGGACCCACTGGAACGGGATCGGCTGGGGGCCAGGCTCCCTCCAAGGGCCGGCAGCATTCAGGACACGGAAAGGGGAATCTGCCTGTTCGGTTTGCAAAAAGCCTCAGGGAGCAAATTAAATGTCTGCTTACTTTTGAAAGGCTGTCTTGAAATGTGAGAAGTTTGATCTTGGCTTGGCTGTAACTTTTGTAGTCCATGCACAATTCATACACCTCCAACATTATCAGCAAAGGAGAATCCTGAATATCAGAAGAGAAACAAAGAATTGTCTGCCCAAATTCTACCCAGAGTGGGTTGCACATCTTTGGAGGGAAAAAAAGATGAGTTTTCTGGGCAGGGGACACCGGAGAGATGGAGGAGGCAGAATCCCTCTTCTCATCCGCTTCCGAGGGAGCAGCCAGCTCTGCCGGATGTCTTCAGGCCGACTCTGGTAGGAGGAAGGCTTTCATCCAGATTCTTGCATGGAGCACGAATCCAGTCTCAGGCCCTCCCCCAAGTCTCCCCCCTCCCCAGCACTCCATGAAATGGGGCAATATCCGCCCCCCAGAGAGACGTGCTTTGCTGGCACCTGCCGGATCCCTCCGAGAGCCAGGAGAGCTACCCCGGTCAGCTTGCCTTCAGGAAGAGCTGGAAGCCATGAAGGAGGGTCCTGGCCTTCCCTCTCTCCAACAGCCAGTGCCAGAGAAGGGCCAGGTCTGCAAGGCTCCACTCATGGGTTTCAACCTTGCCTTCGATGTGCCCGATCACCTCACGGGTGGCAGAACGGTCCATGGACGTTATTATCCAAACACAGAGACAATGGAGAATGCTGGCATCCTGCCCGATGTGTGAACGTGAAGAAACGAAGAGAAGAAAAGCAGAGAGTGGATTCAATAAGTCAAAGTGCAAACTATCACAGCCAGCCTGTGCCCAACACGCAGCTCCTGCGCTATCCCAGAGTCACCTCCCTCCCCTCTCTGTCTCCCGAGGAGCGCTGACGCCCATCCTGGAGGTACCTGGGAGCAAGCAGCGAGCACGCTCAGGACGGGCGCCTGGTGCTTCACCGAGGCAGCCAAGAGGTGTCGCCAAGGGCACGGCTGCTCCTGGCTCTGGAGCAGGACGTGGAACAGGTCCTGCGGCTTCTGCTCAAGCGCCTGCAAGTCACCCTCCTTCGGGGGCTGCAAATGGCCCAGGGCCAGCTCCAAGTGCTCCCGCAGGGGCAGGGGGAAGTCCCGGAGGAGAGGGATCACCTGGGAGAGGGAGGGAAGGAAGGAGGGCAAGCAGCTCAGGAGGTCCATGAAGCCTGGGCCCAGAACCCACCGTGCCAAAGAGGGGAGCTGCAGCTCCTCCCAGGAGATGAATGGGGCAGGGGGAGGGATCCCTGGGACACCGAAGCCCCAGCTTGTAGAATTCGGGATCAGGAGAGCCCTTGGAGAGTGGAAGACGGGGCAGTCACGAGTGGGCCTGCTTCCCACCGCTTCTCTTTACAGAGCTTTGTGACTTCGCTGCTCCGTGGCACTGTAGTGCTCTTTTCCCTTGACGAGGAGCATCTCCCACCCAAACCTCCCAGCTCAGCATCCAGCAGCTTCCCACCTCCGCTGGCTGGTAGCCGTGCATTTGCGCTTCAGTCACAAACTGCAGCCATTCGTTCGAACGCGCACAGGCCCTCAGGTACGACGTGCTCAGCTTGATATGGTGGAGCTGGCAAAACTGGATGACCAGGGACCAGTGCCGCCTCGCCTCGCCCGAGGTCCTGAAAAGAAGGAGCCTCTTCACACGCCTCTCCTCTCCTCGCCTTCCCCTGCCCCGGCAGCAAGCCCTGCTGCTCTCACCCCCTTAGGTAAAGGAGGAGACCCAGCAAGTGAGCCAAGGGGCATAGGGGGAGGCCCCACGGCCATGAACAAGGAGGAAAGGAGCGGCACACTTAGTCCAAACAGGATTTCTTCTTTGATTGATTGACTCTAACACCTCAAACCGTTAGCTGGCAGCTACAGCAACAAATACTCTTAGCAACAACTAACAAAAGAGCAAGTGGAGAAAATACTAGGGCTTACTCTTCGCTTAATGACCCCAACTGGGACGGGGACTGCCGCTGCTGAAGCGAAGCATCTGTTGGGCAACGTCTCGCGGCTGCACTGCTCACTGGCGGCAGCTTCAGTCGCCTGGGCTGCAAATGGATTTCCAAACCCTTCTAAAGAGCGCCAGGCCCGGGAGGGGCTGCTCCTCCCTCCGGCTTGAAGGCGAAGCCTCCGACGGACCCTCCCTCAGCCACCTCTGCGTCCCTCCCGGGGAAGCCCAGCCCATCCTAACTGATGCTAATTATTACAATTCTTCGCCTTCAGAAAAAGCAACGCGAGAGCTGAGATTTTGGAATGAACTCCTAAGAGCCTTATATGAAACGGCAACTCAGGCTCTCCAGGAGCATCTGAACGTGACAAGTTGTTTTCCTTGCTCTCTCAGTTGTCCTGACACCAACCCACACAATACTGAATCCCAAACTCACTTGTTGATCTCCTGATGGTCCACCTTCTCCCAAACGGCTTCCTCCAAGCAGACGAGCAGGTCTTCGGCTGCAGTTCTCTCTCCATCAGCCAGCTCTCCCAGCTTCTCCACTGAAAGCAGAACAGGCCAGGCATCCTGCTAAGGCACCCTCCTCCGCCCAACGTGGCAGGCAGGCCGCCCCAAGAAGCCCTGGCTGCTCTCTAGGCCGGGACTGGAGGGGTTTTATTCTCTTTACTTAGCACATGGCAATCACTCATGTACAACACTAAGAAGACACACTACACGCACAAAAACAAACGTAGGCTTAAATAAGGGTTATGGGAACAGCCAGAGCAACAGACTCCTCCCAGTCTGAGTGGGCTCCCCCCTCTCCCCCCCTCCTCTTCAAATGAATGGGGGGGGCGCCGCTGGGTCATTCACTCAAGTGAGTTGCTACTGGTTCCCCCCCCCCCCCGACTCTGCCTTCATTCGGCAGACTTCTTTTTCATCAGGTAGGCATCTCCGTATCAGCAAGAATAATTCAAAGAGAAAGGCACATAAAAATAGCTTTTGCTTGAAACGTTTCTCCATTTGCCACTCTGATAACCCCGTGGATGTGGATTTCTTACGCACAGCCTTTCTGCAAAATCTGAAGCCAGCTACCCCAAGTGAGAGCAAAACTCGAAGGCTGGGACCGTATTTGGAAGCGTTACCCAAGGACTGCCGGATGGAGTGGTGCTGGGGCTCCTCTCTCCTGGACATGAAGCTCAGAATCACGTTGGCGGCTTTGGCATCCACCCTGAGCTTCAGACTCTGCAGGCCCAGCATCTCCAGGAAGCAGACAGAGGTTGCAGCCAGAGGAGGCACATAGAAGACCGAGAGGGCCAGGGCGTAGGCCTCCTTGGCCACCTGCTGAACCCTAGGAAAGGCACAATTTCACTCTCGGCACAAATTCCCCCAACTTCCTTCCGAGGAGGGGAGGACGGTTACAAGAGTCCCAGCACACACGCCAGTTTCCCCTGGACTGAGAGAGAGGCCCTCAGGCCGGCCTCCTCAGCCTTCACCACTCTGAGAACCGATGCTCACCCAGAGGGTATTTATGGCACCACCTAGGTCTACAGAACTTGCTACGTTCCCCTCTGTGGTCGAGGGTCACAAGTATTTAAGTCAGTAGATGTTGCTCCAGGTGAATCGAATAAAGACAACCGTGGTGTGAGCACAGAGCAGGGCCTGGGAGATCCGGGTTCAAGTTTTCTCTCAGACCCAGCCTTCTCTCCCTGGGGGACTCTGGGTCGGTCGGTCCTTCCCAGCTCAACCGACCCACCAAGGGACTGTTGGGAAGAAGAGCAGGCAGGAAGGTGTGCGCCACACCCTTCTCCAGGAAGAAACACAGGACATGAATCAAACAGATAAACACTTGTAATAAAATAATTGTAAATCATGATTACTGTAATAGAGTCACACATGCTTCTTTTAACTACTTACAACTCCTTTGGGAGGTCACTCTTCGATAGCTGCTGAGTTAAAAACGCCCCGAAAGCAAACGAGGGGCGCTCATGATGTAAGTAATAGGAGAAGTCAAGATTCTCTATTATAGCATGCTTGTTTACAAGAGCTGAGCATGAGAAGTGAGGCAGGTCGCTGCAAATATCTGAAAAGAACAGAAAAGAGCAGAACTGCAATCAGAACAAAACAAAGCAGGACCTGCTATTTCTCTTCACACCAGAAGAAGAATTCTTGATGCTAAAACAGGGATTAACTACTACTACATTAGATTCTGACCGTACGTGAAAGTTTACTCACCAGGAATGGCGAGCGTATTTGCTGACTGCCAGCCAAACAACTTGGTGGAGTCAAAGGGAGCCAAGCACTGAAACAGTAAAACATTCATTTCAGACAATATATCAGAACAGATAAAGTTCAGAGCTCATGTATGAACTGCTCAGGGAGACTTGTAACTTTTGCTCAGTTTGGGACTGACCTGTCCGCACATCAAATTTGGAGCCAGCCCAATTTGCCCGCATCTCCACAGCAATGCAAGAGCATGTGGAAGGGGCGTTTTCAAGGGCGGGGGGCTCTGGTGTGCCAAAGGGCCTCAATTCAAGGGTCTTCAGGGGGAAAACAACAATCTAAAAAGGACACCCTCCTGCCCTGGAGAGCCACCAGATTAGGGAACTGCAGGGTTGGGGAAGGAACATCCAAGGTGGACTCTGCTTCAGAGGCTGGGCAGCCCAGGGAAGTCCGGGGCCTGCCCAAACTAGATCTGTCCACCATGGTGTCCACCTGTGGCATTGAACCCTACCTGAACAAGGTGATAGAGAGAAAGGTCGGGAGGGGGGATCCCGTGAGGCGTGATCTGAGGGAAGAGGGCAGCTCTAAGCTTGGGGTAAGGAGCAAGTGCCATCCTGAAGAGTTGCGCATCCACCTTCTCTCTTCCGTCTCCCTTCTGAACAATCTGCAACACAAGAAGCATCGAAATCCACTTGCACAAATGATTTTCTGGCACTCCCTGTTCCAAGCTTTTGAGGCAGCCCAATGGCCAGCCTCTCTGTTTCTCCAACGAGGGGCCAGGCCAACGAAGCCAGCTGGCGGCTGGGAGAGGGGAGGCTGGGTGCGGTGGGCCTTCTTCAGGCTTCTAGCCAGCTGCCAGCCTTCTGCACTTGGCATACCTGGTCAATCCCTCCCCTGGCGAACATGGTGGTAGCGAGGGCAAGAAGGGTTCGTCCCTCCAACAGCATGGTGCTCACGCTGGCCTGGTTGCTGGGAATCAAGATCTGGGCATTGGCTAGGCTAGCCTGAAAAATCATGTCTGCATCTGAGGCAAGGGGAGAAGGAAAACAAAGGGAGCGTTGTCCAAAAGAAAATTTAAAACAGATTTAGCATAATCAACCGGGTTAACCGAAGCTGGTTTGAAAATCCTTTAAGTACAGATACACAACTCTAGCATGTATTTCCAAAGGTCCCATTCATTTTCCTCCCTCTCAAAGGTCTACTGAGAAGAATGGTGTGCAAATGAGTCCAACGGAGGTAATTTTGGCCCATAAGGAGCAAAAAGTGTTACCAGGTCAGGCCAGGGACTGCAACTATCCCTGGAAAACCTGCTTTTTGCTTTTTGAAAAACATTTGTCCAAATGAGATGCAAAGAGACCACTTACCTCCAGGATTGTTGGCAATATCCCGACATTGCACTAAAAATTCAAACCAAGGGTGAGCTTCACGTAGCTCTTTATCGTTCAAAATGGGACAGGCTGATGAAAATAAACTGAAAATCAAGAACATTTCATAGAATTACAAAGACAAAGCAAGCATTGTGTCTCCTGCCCAGATATCAGCCCATCCAATTAACTTGGCTCAACAATTAGCTGCATGTGAGAAAACCGTCCTGCCTCGGAGGGCTGGAGGGGAATGGCCTTCTTGGGGAGGGGGTTGGCAATCACCTGTTCCCACAATCCCACCAGCACAACTCTCTTGTTTCTCTAATTCACAGTTGTCAAGTGGAGAGCAAAATGTAAGGTCTTGCCTCAGCTAGTTCTCCCAAGAAAGCAGAACTTCTGAGACGGGCATTATCTCAAAAGGAACTTTCATTGAGAGACAGTGACAGCAAGAAAACAAAGCCAGATCCAATTATTTCCCACGCGAAACGTTACACTAAAGCATCCCTGACAGACCAAACCCCAACAGCCAAAAGTCCGGTTTGATTTCATCCAATCCTCAGGTGCAAAGTTGTTATGGGAACCAGATTGATAAGTGCAGTTCTCAGGCACCATTCTCAGGGTTTCGATTTCCTCTCAGTCTCTTGATCTCCTCCCCTCGGCGCAGAGATAAGACAGATGGCCCCGGGCACAGTCCTCCTTCCGCTGATGCCCCATACCAGACTCCCCCCTCCCAACAGCAGAATAGCAGAGCGTCCTCCTCCCCCCTCCCCACAGAATGGCAGACCCGAACATAGAAAGAAAAGCCATATAAGAAATGAGAGTCTGACACAAAATCTGTTTCTCCCACAAGGCATAATGGAGACCATTGCAGGAAAGAAAGACACCAGGGAAGAAAGTGCTTGGTCAAGTTTGTAAGTAATACGCTTGGAATTGTTTTTAAGGGCTGAGCAGCCTCTGAAGGGCCCCCTTCACAGAATCCGCTGCTCCAGTCACCGCTACCCTAAATGCTTCTGCAGGAATCGCCTACAGCCATGGCCACCTACCGGTAATAATCCAGGTAGGAGTAGAGAATATGGTCCAGCCCCCGTTCTAAGCAATAAAGGATAAAGCATGCGTGAAGCTCTAGGCCGCCTGCAGAGACGTAGCCCAGGAGAGGATGCGGCTCCTGCATCAGGCCTCCGGTGCAGGCCACCCTTTGCAGCAGGCCTTCAAAGTCTTCGAGTTCTGCGGGCACAAAAGTCCCATTTCTGTCAAGAAAAAGCAGAGCAGAAACAGCAACCATTTCTGTTAAAACAGTAGGTGGAAAACTGGATGGAAATGGCCCCTCACACGGACAAGGCGCCTACCTAGCTAGGATGTCCAAGACTTCATTTCGCAAGTAGTGGCTGCATAAGGTCCTCCGGCCAATGGCTCCTAGAGGGAGGGGCGGCCAGTTTGCAGGGCTGCCTTCAGGTCGGGATTCAGAAATCCATGAACTGATATTTACCCAATCGTGCCAAGACGACAAATACATCCAGAGGGCCTCAGGATTACAGAACCTAAATTCTAATTTTTAAAGAAATTAATAGAGTTAAGTACAAACATTTGGTGGACATTAGGAACTATGCATACATGGAGGGTGGTTTTCCTCATGCCGGGCGCCTTCCAGATAAGAGCCTTCAAGACCCAGAATCCCTTGGCCAATGCGACCATTGCAGACCACCCTCAAGCTGATATCCACCTGTCTGGAGGACGACGGTGGAGCTGCTGCTATTAGTGGGAAAAGAACTAGCCGGAGGGTCCTGCCCAACTCCATCTCCCTGGCCTAACTATATCCCAGCTGCAGCTGAGTCAAAGCAGTTGGAGACCCCACCTCCCCCCCCCCAGGCTCACTCCTCTCTTTCTGGCCAGACGCCCCCACCGCCTTGCTCCTGCTGCACTGCTCCTCCGAGAGGTTTATTTTTATGGATTCTAAAAATGGTCTGATTTGTCTTCCGTTCTTCATTATGCTTTCTCTAACATGGCTATTCTCTAACTGTTGCTAGACCCACAAAGTGAAATAAATGCACTGAGAAGTCCAGTTGTATTTCTAAAATAAACTTGCAGAAGCCAAGCTTCTGAGAAGCTAAATTGAGTTTTTGTGCATGTGCACATATGTGTTGATCTGAAACAATTTGGACAACTTATTTCTCTTATTAAATGTTTTTCTTCATTCTTCCATCAAAACATCCACAAAAATGATGTCGCTCCCTGTGCAGGGGGCCACTTGAGGGCTGCTTTAAGCCCCCTCTTAAATCCAGCCCCTAAGGAGAAAATTCAGGCTGGTTTCTGGGTGGGCTGCACCAATTAAGGGAGTTGAGATTCCTTGCAAGTTACCCATCCTTGAAGGAACCGGCTGTTTCCAAAAACAAAACAGTCAGTTTGATCTAGTAGTTAAGGCTGCAGGCTAGGAGGCAGAGACTGTAGGTTCAAGTCCCTGACTTAATCGTGAAAGCCAGCTGGGTAACTTTGGGGCAGTCCCTCCCCCTCAGCCCAACCCACCACACAGGGTTGTTGTTCTGGGGAAAATAGGACGAGGAAGGTGTGTTGGATAGGTTCGCCACCTTGAAGTATTTGAATAAATAATAAAGGCGGATAAAAATAAAAACAAACAAGTAAATAAAAAGCCGCAAACCCACGCTCCCGTAATAACAAATACTTACCCCCTTCCTGAGCTCTCACAAGGAGGAGAACCCTTTCCCGTGTAGATGGAGACCACCACTCAGCCCAGTTTAGCATTACCCTGTGCTCCCTGTTATGAATTCTGTCTTGAGTGCAGCTCAGAAAGGAATCCAAAGCAGCAACGTTGATACCATCTGGTTCTTTTCTCCAAGACCTAGAACCAATAATCAAGCATTTCCTTGAAACCAGTGAATTTATTCTTCCCAAAACCTCTTTCACGATCCTTCAGAGCCAAATAGCAGAGATGCATCAGATTAACTCTGGCAAACAGCTCACCAATGAACGAAGGCAGATACATGTGTCCCAGGATAATGTTGCAAGATCCAGTCTGGGTCGGTCACTGGGACCAGGCGTTCAGACTGAAGGTGCATTACCTGCAACAAGCTGCGTTCTTTTCCTTTCTCTGGAAGGTGCCTGAATAAATATTTTCCACCTCATGCACAAAGTCTATCATTTCCTTCTCTGTTTCAGGAAGAACATCTTCCTCTTGTAAGGCACTCACCTACAGAGTCAAAACAAACTTTTAGGTTGTTTCTTTTCTATCCAATAGACACACACATTTTTCAGGTTTCCTTTAAATCAAATTTTGAACATGGCAAGGAACAAAGGGACAACATTGTAAGAGAAGTGCTGCCAGTCCCTTACATAAGATCAGAAAATGACATCAGTGCAGCTGAATTTCCACTTCAGCTATTAAGACTGGAACCCATTTACTCAAATCTCGTATCTGAAAATTGAGTAAAAATTAACAATCTGAGGAGGTTAGAATACATGGGGAAAAACACAATTAACTGAAATCATTTCACAGGCAAAGATTTTTACTTAAACTTACCAAGAAATCCCTGACATGGTAATCTGTTGTATAGAAACATATTTTGTGCAGTTGCTGCTTCACACTGAGGCCCTGTCGAAAGGAAAAAGAACAGGAGTGTTTGCAAAAAACGTGCATAAGGAAAAGTCTTGGCATAGTTCTCTGCACTGGCATGGAAGGACCCGAGACCCTGGCTACGGCTTTTTAACTGTGTGTTGTGAATAAACAGTGGGGTCAAGAAGGCAGAAATGTCCCTGAGGGCTATGATCACCCTTTCCCATTTAAAGCCTAGCCCAGAGGAACAAAGGAGAAAGAATTATGCTCAGTGTGTGAAGATACAAAATCTGTGTATGTGAAAATACTCTAGCAAAGATTTTAGATGGCGCTCAGTGGAGTTGCAGTATATTCCTCACCATGTTCCTTAAAAGTCTGGAAGCTTCACTGATGTCATTCTTCAGGAGGCTTTTGTAAGCCATCTCCAGGCCTATCCGGGTGAGCTGCCCGAGATCCTGGGCAGGGTTGTGAGTCAAACGGAAAAAGGTTTGTGCCTCTGGCACTCTGTTGCTTAGAAGGGCTTCAGTAACTGCTTGCTGGAAAATAAAATGATGAGCAATTTCAAGAGCCACCTTAGGAGACCCTCTACCCACCCTGAGTTTTGTATTCTTTTTTGAAAGGTTGAGGAGAGGGGAGGGAAGTGGGGAGGGGCTTAGAACAGAGGAATGCTGGATGAAAGCAGAGGGGCACAAACCCAACTGAAGCTAAGTCTACCCTTACGACTTGAGAAGAGCTGACCAGGGCAATGTCTCCTGAGGCCTGGAGATGAGCAGCATTTCTGCTGAGTGACATGCTGGAGGGGGGAGTGTGTTCCAAAATGCCAGGGAGTCATTAGCTGATCAGACAGTGAAACTAAGCCCACGGAATAGCAGACCTAAAAGTCTTCCTAAAAAGATGACAAGTCTGTATCTCATACTCAGCAGCCAAGCTACTCCACAGAAGCTACTGAACCAGCTGGATTAAAGAGAAGCCATAAACGGGCTTCTCCTTTATAAAACTGCTACCATTTTAAAAAAATATTTAAGCTGATGACCATGAAGGCATCACCCGACAGTAAATTCTATGAAGTGATTCAGCTTGGTGTAGAAAGCACTTCCCTTTGGGCCCTGCCCATCCATTTCGGAGGATGTCTGCGGAAGGAGGAAGACTACCCAGCCTAAGAAGCCAGAGGCCTTCCTGTAGTCTTTTCCAGCTTAACTCTATTCTGTTACGAGACGATGCCTGGTACAGATTTACCTTTCCAAATGACTTCAGCACAAACCAGGATATTTTCATAGCTCTAACATCACTCTCTCACATACACAAAATGCTCTCTTGCTAAAATAATTACATCCCCACTTTGCTCCTTCGCACTGAAATCAATTCCTTTCAAGTGCTGGACTTAGGCAAGGCTCTGTACGTGGCTCCAATTTGCTATGCATATGTGTAGTAAGGAAATTATTTAATAAATTGAGATCATGTGTGAAATTCTGATATAGTCTGATATTCAAGCTATATTCTGCTTACCTCTGTATCAAATGCTTCCCAGTGTCTTTGGTCCATTTGGGGTAGGTTATCTTCAGAATCCCAGGGCTGGCTTACGACACCAAATGGCTTATGAGGGAACCTGATCATAAGTGTCCTGAGTTTAGTGATGTAGCTGGTTAAAATGTCAATGCACTGGACCATGTTTTCATCCACCTCTGTGAAGAGCACCAGGAAGACAATCAAGTAACGCTACTGAAAAGGCTGCTTGGGGAGAATGGCAACTATAGAGGCTGCACAGTTATCCACCACGAAGCCACTACACTACTCCCTTTGAGAAGGATTTGGGCTGCTGGCAGCTGTAGGTCAGAAGGGACAGGATGCTGCTCCTTCGGTCCTTGTCCTGCTTCTTGGCTGGAAACGGCCAGCAGCGAAGGAGTCACGTTAGCGCCGTGGAAAGGGGCTGGGCCAGCAAGCTCTCCTTCTCAGAAGCCCTGAGGGCGCAGGTAGCCACTGTCCTGTAGCAGCTTCCCATTTGGGGGAAAGGGGATACAGGAGGTGATACATGGCTGGCTACAGATGGGTTTGAAAGAAACTAACCTGAATTCTTGTCTGTCTGGCTTCAGGCCTACTGTTAACCCTGAGGCAGCCTTATTGGTGCTGACTAAGGAGAGAGGGAAACCTGCCAGACTGATTCTACTGAATTTCTCAATAGCTTACATCCCAGCAATCGTAAGATACTTGTGGAACTCGGTACATTTAGGTAGTTCGTCCTTATCTTTAGGATTGCTACTCAAGGCAGTCAGAGGAGAAATTTTGGGTTGCCTTTGAGGTTGGGGCTACGGGGTCCCCCAGAGCTCCATTCTCTCTGTTTTTCAGTATCAACCTGAATATTCTGGAGGAAATCATTTCCAACCTAGCCAGACAGTTGCCGGATGCAGTAACTCTAGAAGCCAGAGATATTTAATTTTTTAAAATAGACTTTTAAAAAAGCATTTAATATTATTTTATTCAATTTTGTGTAGACTTTATAGAGTAATTGCAGGTTTATAAAACTGTTTTTCTGTACTGCTCTGAATTTTCTTTGGCTTGCCAAGAAAATGGACGATAGTAATAATAATTCTTAGAAAAAAGGTGTTTCCAATTAAATCAGGAAAAAGTGGCCTTTCAAGTGGCTGGCACTATCAACTAATTTCACAGGAATCCATCCATCTATTTTAAACAATTGAAATATAAAAACTTTTAATAAATTATACATGGCTGAAATCTGGGAAAATCATGATATCCTGCAAGATCTCAGCCAGACAATAAGTAAAATATTATGATAAATAAAAAGGGAGAGTTGGTGGTACTCGACTTACAACCACAACCAAGCCCAAGAGTAAAATATCTTTAGATGCTTTATAGACTCTTAATAGCCCCTGAGCAGGTGGGTATTAAGGCTGAACCTGCACACTGCCCTGTTTCTTGCTTTCTTCCCTTGATGATTTAAGAAGCACAAAAATTGTAAATAAACCCATTCCGGAAATAGAAGTTTTGTTGTTGGTACAGAGAATACCAATTCAGGTCAAATAGATATATGATACCGACTCTACCTTCTCTGTGTGTAAAAATCTCACGGAGTTGTTTGTTGAGAAAAGATAAGGTGAGGTTCAACAGCTGCTCAGAGAAATGCTTGCTCTGGGTCTCCACATCATTTTCTTGAATTGCCTTACAAAGTAAATCCAACGCTGGCCTCAATTCTTCAACACCTGTAGGAAAAGAGTAAAACCAATAAAAATGTGAATATCACGTTAAGAAATGCACAAATTTACATTTGTCTTCAAAGTGATGTCAGAGTGATATACAGATAATCCTCGAATTACGACAGTTCACCTAGCGACTGTTTGAAGTTACATCACCGACACAGTCCCGAGGTTACGAATGCTGCAGCACCACGGCAGTCGCTCACCCTTGCTTTGCCTGCTTCGGTGCTTCAGGCCTTGGGGGCATTCGCAGAGAACAGAGGCCTAAAGTACCACGAGATCAGGCGAGATCTCGTGCAACTGATCGCGCGTGATCTCCCACTCCTTTAGGCCTCTGTTCTCTGGGAATCGAGGCCTGGAGGAGATCTGCTGCAAAAGGCTTTGCAAGCGGAAGGCAGGCTTCGGTCCTTCAGGCCTTCCCTCCGTTTGCTGCTTCCTTGCCAAAGCCTGCAGGGAGATCGCGTCCGCTGGGCTCCGGGCATCTTTGCAAAAAGCCTTTGCCGGCAACAAGGGAGCCCGGGAGGGGCCGCTGCGTCCTTCCCAGGCTCCGTTTTCAGCGCAAGGGCCGGTGCGGCAGAATCAGGGGGAAGCAATTTTGGGGAGCATGAGGTATCTCAGTGGGACAGGGGGGGTCCTTGGGTGGTCTGAAGTGGGTGGGCTGTTCCATCACTTCCCCCCCCCCCGGCCTTCCCCACCCTGAGGTACCTCGTGCACTTAACGGCCCGCCCATTCGGCTGGCGAACATGTGGGCAAAAGCTGGGAGTTTTCACGTTCACTTTACGTGATTCACTCCAACGAATCCTCGGGTTACGAATGTAATTGGCAGGCTCCATTACATTCATAACTCAAGGACTAGCTGTTACCACAATTTATTCCTTTAAGCATTCTGAAAACCCATGGACCTGGGATTCACAGGGATCTGCCCTGAGCACCTGCAGTTCACTTTGCATTCAGTCAAGTGATGCTCCTTTTGCATTTACACTGCAATTTATAAAATATCAGTGTGAACATTCATAGTTTACTTACTCTTCAAGTAAAAATCTGACATATTATTTACAGGCTGATCTTGCACAGAGCTTGCTTCAGACAGACTGAAAATGTTCTCTTTATTCTTGAGGAAAAAATCCACAGTGTCCAACTGTCGGTTCTCTAAACCAGCCTAAATATCAAAGATATAGTTTTTATATTATACTTATACAGAGATCCAACATCAATACTTTGACTCCTCTTAATTAGCACCTGGCCTGAGTGTCCAAGGGAACATCAAGGCATGGATTTTGCTTCTTACTTCCTAAGCTCTCTTCTCAGAGATCTGGCTGTCACAACATCGAGACAAACTTTTGTCCAATCACAGAGGAACTTTTTCTTGAGGAGTTGAGCACTAGCATTCCTTCTCTGCTTACAAACTTCTTAACATGAATATGATCTATGCTAAGTAATATATTTGTTCTGTATATAATATATTTGAGTACACCAAAATAAGTTCTGGATTATATGCTAGTTACAGCTTACTTTTACATAGATTTGTAACTAACATTGACCAGGAACCAAGGAAGTTAATATTTCTTTGCAATATACAGCAAAAGGATCAGTGATTTATGTAAGATCCAGGATTCTTTAAAGGTAATAAATGATGGATGACTCTAAATTGCAAATGGCAATACTTAAAAAAAACCACAACAATCTTCACCATATGAAGACTTGTGCTGGAATTAACCAAGTCATTTTCTTGTCTTGTCAGCGGAAGAACTTTTGTCTCCACTGGTTGAATACCAGAACCATTTAAAGTAGAGCAAAACGTGTGCGGAATCAATCTTTCTGCTCTAGAATGGATGGCCAAGGCCTCACAGCTTCATAGGCATCAGGGAAAAAGTCGGAGTCCTCTAGAAAATCCTCAGCAATAGCAAGACGCCGCTACCCGTGGTGGAGCCGTGGTGGAGCCGTGGTTAGAATGCAGTACTGCAGGCTACTTCTGGTGACAGCCTGATGCCAGTAGTTCGACAGTTCAGTTGTTACCGGCTCAAGGTTGACTCAGCCTTCCATCCTTCCGACATCAGTAGAATGAGGACCCAGATTGTTGGGGGGGGGGGAGCAATAGACTGCTTCTGTAAACTGCTTAGAGAGGGCTGTAAGCCTATACGTCTAAGTGCTAGTGCCGCCTCTAACCCTGGAAACGAGGATGCCCCAGGCTTCTTTCCTTACCTCTAAGGCATGGACCGGAATAGAACACCTTCCCCATCCATTGAGGCGGCAAAGGGAATCTACAGTGCTAGCGCTTCCATAGATGATCAGTCTGTTCAAGAATTCCTCTTGTGTAAAGCCAAACAGGAACAAGGAGAGGCCAGTCTCTAAGGATTGTCACAAAAGAGAGGGGTTATTTCCATATTGCTCATTGTCTACAGAAAAGATGTTCTAGTGACTTGAACACAGCTCCCTCGGTCATTTTTAGTAACGTCAAGAAGAGAAAACAATTTCAACTCTGAAATTATTTCTAGAGGGAAAATATTTATCTGCAATTAAATTCAAAGATGCTCACCTGAAAGGACAAGCCATAGTGGTTCCTCCCTGGTATATTCCACAAAAAAGGAGTTTTTCCCCACACAAGACTGTGTGATATCCTGGGTCACCAAATCCCACAGGACAAGAGTCAGTCCTTCGCTCTCACTTGAGACAGTGAACAGCACGTGAAAACCTGTCACCTGTTTACAATCAAGATTCCCAGGCTCTTCTGGGTCACTTAAATGTATATTCTTCCATCGCCTGTCTTTGGTGCTTTTAGTATCTTTCCCTCTGGAGCTTGAAAGAACAAACGCAACCTCTTGAAAGAGGGACGCTGCAGAAGTGTCCCAAGTCTTGGAGTTAAGAGGTTCCAAGGGCAGAAGATGCTGATACCAAGGCAACTCAACATCCGTATCCAAATGTGGAGAATAATTGTGTGAGTGTATATCATTCAAAGGTAGTACGTGTGTCTTCCGGGATCTGGAAAAAAAGCGAAAGATCTTAACATTTTCAATGATATATGAAATGAAGATGTCAGAATTACACTTTTCAATGAAACAATTCTTCTTGTCACTATAAAAGCACCTTTGAAGGCCAACTCACCTGTCCGTCTGAAATAAAGGCTGCAAGGACTTCATGCTGAAACCTGAACTACTGAGGTCATCTTCATCCAGCCCCTCAAAGCTTTGCTGCTTGCAAAATAAATGGTCAGGATATTCTCTGGGAGGAAAGGGGGTAATAGAAATAAGGCAAGTTTCCCTTTACTTTTCAAGCTTCAACAAGGTTTAATCATCCATAAAACATCCAAACATAAAAACATCATCCAAATATTACAACATACTGATGCAAAGAAGCAAAGGGTTGGAGAAGAATGGCTCAACAGCAAATTTAGCTAATTCGGGTCACAGAAAAATGCTGTGGACTGTCCTGAACATCCCATGGGGGATTCGGATGGCCCCAGCCCTGTTCACTTAAGACGCTGAAGACCTGGATGTTTCCCCAGGCATTTGGGTCAAGAGCTTAGATGAGTTCTGCTGCTGTTGATGTGGGGGAGGGGGATTGTGAATGTGGGTTACTGGTTTACCCTGAGACATGGGGAGTTATATGTGTGGTTTTCATGCTCTTAATCTTTATAAACTACTCAGAATCACTCAAGTGAGATGGGTGGTCATATAAATCATCTAAATAAACAAATTTTATGCTGGAAATCAGGCAGCCTTTGGAAAATAGCCTTCAAACATTTCATGTCACCTACCTGAAGTACAAGTTGAGGTCAACAGCAGCAACACAGCTGGAGCGGCTGACAACCACAGCCATGCTGAGATCATATGATATACTTAGCTGCACAAGAGGAAATGGCATATCCTGGTTTCCCTCTTCTTGCCCCCGTGACTGATAGAGAGAAACACTGATGTGGGCCAAATAGGCACCATCGATAGCACCAAATATATCTTTGTAAAAAGTTAAAGAAGTTCACAGGCTGTTGAAATAACAGGACAAAACTACCAACAAGAAACACACCCTTCAAAGAGCACAACTATGTGTATGCCTGCTTCGGATTAAGCCTTACTGGGCAATGTCATCTTATTTTAGAGTAAATGTGCACAGAAAATCAAGTAAGCTATAAATTCAATAGAACGTGCTGCTGGGAAAATACTACCATTTGAGATATCCCTCATGGGATATACAGAGTCCTCATTCACCCTTCTGTGTCCTCCTCACCCACCCTGCAAGAATCCTTGGATCAACAGGGCACGTTTTGCCTTTTTCACAATAAAGCTGGGAGTTAACATGCTAAATCTCTATTAGGTAAAATGCACCAATTTCCACTCTTAGATTTCAGTGATACCCAACCCGGGACAGACAGTTCTTGGAAGCTCGCCCAACACCAGCTTTATATTAAAGGATACGTATCCATCCGGTCTCATCCAGCAAGAAGATGATACCTCTGCAGAAAGTAACATTTACTGTCCTTTCCAAAGTTTGTGGGGGCAAATCAAGTCTAAAGCAGCCTTCCACCTCTTCCCCCAGTTCTCCTCCAGGAAAAATTAGGTGTACAATCATAAAGTTGTTGAGCAACAGTATAGCTCTGCTATTTTTAAATGACAGCACTTGCAAGGATGAAATAGATAGTAAGTCTGTAAAAGAGGACATAAAGAAGGTTTTGTTAATGTAGCCCTACAGTAAAGTAGAATTAGCTCATCAGCTGCTAGAAGAAGCAGTATTTCCATCTTACCTGGATTCACATTCAATGTATTCTCTCTCCTTATCACATTATCAACCACAAGTAGGAATATGGGGTGAGCTAGGCAGAGGATAGTATTACACAAAGATGACACAGAGAAACAGGTTTGGGGCCTAATTCGTCATCTCCTGGGGCAGGACGGGGCCCTAAAGACCATCTCCCAGTAGCTCCTGTTCTCAGGAATGGCCGTTCTTAAGTGGCACCATCTGAAACCCAGAGCCTTTTCTTCCCAGCCTTCTCTCGCCAGGGCGCCGAAAGGCACAGAAGCACCAGCGGAGAGACGTTTCCCCACTGGGTCCATCGACCTCCGCTCTGCAGCTGCCAGACGGAGGAGAGGCGTGAAGAGAGCAGCTTCCCAAAACAGAATCTTCCCGCCTCCCCCCCCGGAGGAAGCCCGGAGGCAGCCCCGGGCCCCTTCCCTCCCCGCCCCCGCCTCTGCCCGGGAAGACTCGCCTGCGTCCCGGGAGGCCGCCAGGGCCCGCAGCCGCTCTTCGGGGACGCCGCGCAGGAGGGTCGCGTCCCACCGCCCGGACTCGGAAGCCGCCTCGTAGAGGAGCAGCGCCCGCGCCTCGGTGACGGCCAGCAGCCGCAGGCGGCCCCCCGCCGCCGCCTCCTCCGCCTCGCCGCTCGCCCACACGAAGCTGCAAGAGGCGCCGCGGGTCAGCCCCGCCGCTCGCCCCCCCCCTCGGCGGCACCACCACCACCACCGGCGCCTCTCCGGGGAGCTCGCTGGGACTCCCGCCCGCCCTCCCTCCCTCCCTCTCCGCGGGCGGCGCTTACTCTTCCCAGGCGCCCGGCAGCGAGACGCCGGGGAGCCGCGCCGAGGACAGCCCCGACAGGCGCAGCTCGGCCGGCCCGGCCACGGCC